AAAAGGACATGGATAGAAAAGAGAAGAACAGGGTTGGACTGTTCTTCAGACCTGTAATAAATCCACCTGTTTAATGTACTGGTAGGCAGAATGCAGTAATAGTCGTACCAGGATATGAAGATCTGGTCCATCCATTCAACCCTTATCCATTTCAACATACTTATTTCAACTTTACTTATTTATTGATAGATAATAGATATACCAAACTGCATGTGTGCTAATGTAGTTTTTCCTGCAGGTGTTCTAACTACGCAGTCATGCCTTTTTTCTCGATATTTTGGAATTATTCTCCATGTACGTTAAACCATTTTAGATTTTTAGACGTGTCCCGAAATTGACATCGGTTGTCTAACATTGGTCATGGAAGAGTAAAGTGACTGGGGAGGGAAGAGAGGGAGATAGAAAGAGAGAGAGAGAGAGAGAGAGAGAGAGAGAGGGGGAGAGAGGGAGAGGGGAGAGAGAGAGAGAGAGAGAGAGAGAGGGGAGAGAGAGAGGGGGAGAGGGAGAGAGAGAGAAGAGTAAGGCAAGAGAGACATAAAGGCAGAAGGGTAGAGCAAGAGAGACAGGCATGCAGAGAGAGAGTCAAAGGTAGATAGAGAGAGAGAGAGAGAGTCAGATAGAGAGAGAGAGAGAGAGAGAGACAGACAGACAGACAGAGGAGAGGGGGGGGGGGGGTAAACAAAAGAAGGAGGGAAAGATAGACAGGTTAAGACTTTCACCGCCCATGAAACATCAAAAGCTGGGCATTGAACATTACAATATCAAGGTAGAGAGAGAGAGAGATAGAGAGAGAGTTCATGACCAAGCTGAAATATTTGAGTATTCCAATATGTTGGCATTCTCCACAAATAAGATATACTGCGGGCTGTCTGACGTAGTGTCAGGCAATGAGTTAGAAATTAAGGTTGCGAAGTCGTGTAAAGAGTTTGGTGGTTTGTTAATTGACGTCTTCTGATAGCAACCTATTCCCCAGTATGTTCTTATCAAGCAGAGCATGATCTGTGACTCAGCACAACATGGATCTCATTTCACTTCAGCTTCAAGTTCAAGAGGAATCTTTAAAAAAAGCTTGAGTTCTAATATCTCACTGGGCCTTTTCATCAAGGAGTTAATATAACTCTCTGGTTTTATCAAGGTTCCGATGATGCTTCCTACCCTTTCATCGGCCTTCCCATGATGCCTTCTTGCTTGAAAATAAATGTAAGCTTTCTTGAAGTTGAACCGAAGACCAACCTATTCTTGATTTATCTGACTCAAGCAGACGTGAAGTTTGGTCTTCGCTATCATCCTTGACGGGGAAAGGTCTGATGAAGTCTGACTGCAGTCAAGTGGGTGCATTAATGGGACCCAGATGGGCTCAATCTGGAGCATTAATGTGACCTAGGATTGTCCACAGGGGTGCTTGTAGGGGGTTGTAATGACCCCCTGTCCACTCTCCAAGATAAAAGAGGACGCATATTCATGTTTGTAGGCCTAATTAGATGTATGTTTGGATAACAGTGCTTGTATTCAGTAGCCTACAGCCATGATTTGTTCACATTAACACAAGCCTGTCTTCATCTTTTAAAACGAGCTTTTTTTTCAAAGGTATTTCTAATTTGATTTTGACTCTGATATTTCCATACAACAATTTTTTATTTTACGTTGGTCTGAACTTTTTGTTGAAATGTAGAAATGACTACAAAAAGGAAATAAATCAACTCTGTTTTAAGATGGAAATTTGACAAAACAAAGCTTGTGTCTTTTGTGTAGACCTACCCCTAAACCATTAAATTCTATTACTGCTTACTCCCTGTGCAAAGCTAAGCATAGGACTAGACCTTTATGCTAACATTTAAACATATTTAGATTGATCAATATCTAGGATGTCACAGCTGTTACATATCCTATTTAAACCGTCTGTATGTCTTCCACTTCACTTGGAGAACATTAATTGGAAATATAAAGGATATCCTCTCATCATTGTAACATATTGCAAACATTAACCACATCAGACACATAGCCTACATGTGTATGAAGGTTGATAATATGAAATGTGTCAGGGGCATTTATTCTTGTTGATTTCTTCAGTTTTGTGTGCTGGAAGTGGCACCCATATTGCCTCCATTTAAACAAGAAACTGTAGCTTAAAGATATATGTCCCTTTTGCAGCCAACATCAAATTCTGTAGAACTTTGTAGGAATTATGAATAATTCACTATGTCCTATCTGTGAAATTTAAACGTTAGCAGTGTCCCAATATTCAAATTATGCAAGGAAACCCGTTTACTTGCTAGACTTCACTGTCAGACACTATTGAGTGACGGACTGGCTTTTTTTCATCTTTGGTAATAACAAACATAAAATGAGCTGAAAGGGTACATGAGCATTTGTCTACAACAATAACCCACTTCTTGTAATGGCCAAAATTAAACCGATTGAATCTAAAATGTACGACCATTCATACAATGGTCTGAAAAATCAGACTATTACTTACTGGCTCTATAGCCCCTAAGTCAATTTGACAACTAAAAGTCATTATTTTCCCACTTAATAACATTTTCAAGCCCCCCTTTTTTAGGGAAGTTCTAAATTAGTATTGTATTTCAAATGCTGTTGGATTTTAACCTTTTCATTTTTTTGGCCTGCAAATGGGACATAGTACCTTTAAAGTGTACCAAACACCAAATGATATTTTGTATTTTTGTTCTGCATGTTGGAAGTTCCATGTCGAAATAGTACGGTACATTCAAAATATGAGCTTGAAGTAATCCATCTTTAAAGAGATTTTACAACTTTAAATACACTCTTAATTAACATAAAAACAGCTTGTGAGTAGTATACATGACACACCTGTACGTGCTTGCGACTTGGGTTCAATGTGTACTGTTTTATGTTATACTATACTTTACTTTCTTCATATTCCGTTAGCCCATAGAATGCGGGATGCAGTTTTGTTAATGATGATTTCAAACATTCTAGCTATACACAAATAATATTTGTGTATATAATATTTGTAGGTTATTGGTACACTTTGAATAGCTTGATTATTCTGTACCAAGTTCATTGAGTTTTTTTTTTTTACTATTCCATTCAAATTACCCCCTTTCTGCCCATTTAAAAAGATATGACTTTTCACAATTGGCATATTAGCTTAGATTTTCGTTCTATATCTTTTATGATATTAATATTTTAAAAACTTTCCTCTTGCCGTAGGCTTCATACAATTCAGCAGTTACCGGGAGTACAGGTCAGTTAGAATCAGGAATGTGTAATCCACTGGGTTCAATGGTATGATTGATGTTATAACGATGGTTGGTTTGAAACTTTGAATTAAATACTAGACTAGGGCTAATCCTGTTTAGGGTTGCATTAAGGTGAAACCCTGTCATTAATCCGCCTGATTGAGTCTGTAAAGCGCCAGCTATGCCTTCAGGGAAAATATGATATTACCAGCCCCAGGAGGGCCAGGACGTAAAGAGCTGTTCTAGTCCCTTAATTTGTTTTGATTTCTTGTATTTAGTAAACAGAACACCTAGATAAGCCGCCTTAATTCCTGTCTCTCATTTAGAATAAAATATCCCATCAACCTCACCTGTAAATGAACCTTGCGTGAAGATCTCAAAGTGCAACATCCACAGGACAAGTTTTTCCTCCTTTGCAATTTCATATGTCCTGTCCCTTATTGTTTTTCTTCTATTAATAGTAAACAGAACACCAATATAAGCCGACTTCTCCTTCTCTCTCTCCCTCCCCTCTCTCTCTCTCTCTCTCTCTCTCTCTCTCTCATTGTAAATGAACCTTGCGGGAAGTCCTCAAAGTGCAACAACCACAGGACAAGTTTGTCTTCCTTTGCAATTTCATATGTAATCCACAATCTTTTATAGCTGAATGGTATTGAAAATAAGCTATACAGTACTGAGGTGATAAAGGACATCAAAGTGATTGTCTAAGAAGGGTAAAATGGCGAGGCTTCTTTCATAATTGAGGCCAATCATAATTGGTCACGATCAATTCCTATTATATGATATTGCCTCGTAGAATTGTTCACTCCATGGCAGGTTGCATCAAGGATGACGCATATTGAATTAAGAAGGAATGATACACTGCATAAAAAAGTCAAATTCTGATTATAATAATGCGATACAGAGTATCATTTATTGTAGACTGTATTACGAGGATGAATCATCTTATGTTATTGAATGGTTTTGTACTTAATTCTTTACATTCCTATTTTAATGTAACTTCTTACCTAATACATTTAAAAAACTACTTCCATATTTGTTTCATATTTCTCAGATATTCAAGATTCAAGAGTATTTTATCAGTTTCTCTGTTTCTGACATATCTGTCTCTGTCTTTTGGTCTCTCTCTCTCTCTCTCTCTCTCTCTGTCTGCCTGCCTCTCTGTGTCTGTGTCTGTGTCTGTCTCTATTAGTTTCTCAGTCCGCCCCCAACCTCTCTCTATCTCTGTATCTCGCCAATCTGGCTTCCATACATATTTTTGAAACCCCAAGCAAACACATTTTGACTCAGGCCATGTTAAATAAAGCATGAAGATGAAGGGGAGTAGTTTAAGTGAGAAGTGATGACGGATGTAGCAGATAATATCACAGTCTCAAGCTCTTTTTAACCGTGCTTGAAATTGAATATTTTCTCTCCTGAGATCATTATTTTGAGCAAAATTGAGCGAAATTGGATGAAAGAATGTGAATAATTAGAAACTGAAGACAACCGTGAAACCTAAAAGGAGGGTCGTGAATTTTTAGCTTTTGTTATTGTGAATGGGGATGAATCAGGAAGAAGGAAGTGGCCGTTTTAAATTGCTCTTAGACTTCTGTCATTTGGTGTATTAATGCAGCGCAATGTAATTTGGATTTTTTTTTTAAATTTATCTATGTAGTCATGTCACTTGTGTGTATGTATTGCTAGTTGCCCTTTTAAATTGTGGTAATTACAAAATATATTGATTTCAGTTTCTCCTTTCTTTTCCCCCTTGCTGATTTCTTCTTGCCCTAACAGTAGTGGAACTTTTGAGAGAATGTGCCAAAGAGTACGTCTTCCAGATGATGTAACTATCGGTTTCATTATAGGTAAGTTATTGAACCCAATATTCTTTTTTATTTAATATCTTTTTTTTAAATTTAAGTACCTGATCTCATTTCATATTTATTTGTGGGACCTAATGACATGGTTAGTTATGTTTAATGGCGTTCTTTAATAGACTTCATCCAAATTTATGTTTATATATTTTCATATTTAGATTGAAAACCAAAGTAAATTTTTCTCCAACACATTACTGATATGTTGAATGATACCCTTTTCCCTTTCGTTTAGTACTCTTGATTATAATTCAATGTTCTTTTCTTTAATCTTCTATTCTACTTTTGTTTCCACCTTGCCTTCTATGAACCTCTCCCTTTCTCTCTTTCTCACTTTCTCCCTTTCTCTCTTTCTCTTTTTCTCTCTTTCTCTCTTTCTCTCTTTCTCTCTTTCTCTCTTTCTCTCTCTTCTCTCTTTCTCTCTTTCTCTCCTCCCTTTCTCCCTTTCTCTCTTTCTCTGTTTCTTTCTTCCTCTCTTTCTCTCTATCTCCCTTTCTCCCTAATTTCTCTCCTCTTCTCTTTCTCTCTTTGTCATTGCAGAAGTCTTATTGAAGAAGCCACTGACGAAAGTGCAAACTTTCAATTCTCACCTACAACAATTGGCACGGATTCCAACTAAACAACTTCAAAACCAGGTATCTGATCTCATTTCTTCTCTCAAAAAATCTTTACTCATATTCATAAAGGTTGCCTTAAGTTAATTCCGCTTTAATTTAGTCCACTGATGTATGGTGACCAAGCACGAAACTCTTTATTCCGTAGAAAATTTGTATCTCTGTAATTGAATGAAAGTGATTTTAAAATACACCATGTCGCAGATAAAATAAGGCTTGTTTTCATATATTTTGTGTTCGTGAAATCAGCAATATTTAGTGTTAAGATATTCAGTTATTTCTAACTGAAACTCGACACTTATACATGCCAAGTGCAGTGAAATTACAGTTATGTGAGACATGCTTTGTAATAATTTTATTTTTGTTTTGCAGCTCACCTTGAGTTACAGTATTACTGAGAAGAGACGCAATGTAGTCAACATGGTATCCATAATGAGTGACGATCCTACCAGGTATGACATACAAACTCCCTATTTTATGAAACCTAATGTGAACTTCACCAAAGGCTCACACAAAGCAGATAAATGCAAGCAATCAGAGCTTTTTTTTACATGTGACTGAGTGTCATGCTGGAATTGGGCAATGATAATTAAAATGTATAAATAAATGTTAATTTTTCAAGCAAATGCAAACAGTATACAACAAAAAACACAAATTTTGCCATTTTTGATTTTGAAAAAAAAGAGGAAATTTTGTGTCCATGTACATCTCCTTCACCTTCAAAGTGTGTATCTTCTTCTGTAAGAAAATAATCTGAACATCAGATCTGAGAAAAGACAATCTGTTTATATTTGGTTGCTATGGAAGGAACTCATCTACATGTCACCATCTAATCACAACTTAATTAAGCCTGGTTCAGATATGAAGGGGTAAACTGCAGCATTTTAAAATTTGATGATGATTTACCGGTAAGTGTTGTATGCTTCACATCTCTGCATCTTATAACTCAAAGCTCAGACAATACACCTAGAACCTTTGTTGCATGCAGTTGCCATCCATGATACACATAATCAAAACATGCCATGTTTTTTTGCAGTAGTTTACTGCGTAATATCTGAACAAGCCTTATCTGCTTCCCTGCCATCCATCCATCCAATTTTTTCCAAAAATCTCCAGAGCCACAATTCTACTCTTGACAATGATTATGGCAGTGTTCCAGCGCCGCCGATAGTGATGCTTGGCTGGTGTGCGATTTATAGACGAGGTGTCCCGTTACATGGAGCAATTACTCCAGACCTGGGGATAAGATATAAATATTTATAGCGAGCTAAAAGCCATCTGGGTTCACATTTATCTGGGAGGACTGATTTAGGTTGGGGGTGGTTTGAAGGATGCATATTTTAAGGAAGGAAACAAAAGAGTTACATACAGTTATAGTATTCAGGCCGATGATAGTATATTCCTTTTAGTAAAATTCATGCCTAGTTTCTTGTCTAGTTTTTAAAAGAAAAGAAGAGGAGGGGATTCTGTGTTATTCAATACTCAATATTTTTCCTGTAGATATATAAGAATGCTATTGCATTAATTTCAATACACGTATGCTCTGAATTTAATTTCATTTATGTTAATGATTTGTTAATCATTGTATAGATGTCCTCTGATTATGACTATTTTTTTTAAGAACAAGATTATCAAATATTCTAAAAAAGGAGGGTCAAAGTAAGGAAGGAGGGGGTGAGAAACTAGTTTTCTTTTTACTTTTCCTTATGGCTGAGTAGTATTTTTCTTCAAAACATGAACCTTCTTTTTAGAAATTCTTTTTATGACAAATTTATCCAAAAAAGGACAGGTATCCAAATACATGAAAATTGAGATGTGAGCAAAGTCTTGTCATGTTATGATCCATTAATTGTCTCTACTCTGCATTTGGGTTTATATAAGATTTGGGGTGTTCCAGGAAAACAGGAACAGAAGAACAACATCATTTTATGATATTTTCTTTTTTTTAAACTAAAACTTTCTAGAGCATAAAATGAAATTATGGGAAAGTGATGCTTGCAGCCTTGTATCTTGTTATAAATGAATTTAGACTTACAAGTTTTTTGAAAATGGCAACTTAGATTAAATTCATACCCCCCACATTATTTGGTAGTATGTTGAATTAGAGAAAACTCGTAATGGAATTGTATTTTTAACTGGAACGATAAAGGGGAGAAGCATAATGAAAGCCTTGTTCAATATAGGTAAGGGCCTACAGTCATAACCTTTTCCTTTATTGATTTAGAATTGGATGTTTTTGTCTGAGTAATAAACTAATCATGGATTTTCAATTACCAGGATGAGACCTGTATTGTTAGGCAGAGCCAATTTTCATTATGATGATGAGGAGTATCAGTGTTCCAAAAACTCATTACCGGTATAACAAGTCATGGTATATGAGTACGACCAAGACTTGATGGCAAGATAACCTTCTCTAACCTCATTGTACGCCTTTACATCAACATCTGAAACCAAGTCACACCAGCAAAGTGACTCAAACTGACTGGAAACAGACACAATTCTAGCATTTGAAATAGTAGTAACATTCAAAACTATTCAAACTGATCCGTAACCATTTGGTAATGACATTGAAATGTCACCCCCTTTTGTTTTGATCTATATACGTAGCAGCAGTATTTTAAGGGATGAGATATTATTACATTTTGACCATGAAACAGTGCTTGAATCAGTATGGTTAAAGTTTGAGGAACTACATTAATAGCAATATACATGTCAAATTACTGATGGTATGTCATCACCACAGAGAATCAATTAAGAGAGATAAATACACTCCTTGTTGATTGGTAGTACATTGAACCACTAATTAGACATTAAGATTCTTCATCAACTCTTTGGTGAAGAGTGAGCTGAAGTCATACCCCTTGCCCATTCTGATCTAATTAATTATCTATCCAGCATTGTACAGTATTCAAAGTAACTGTTACAATATGACAGCTAAATTTCCTTCAGTTGTCTCATAGGCACAAGGCTACATTTAAACGCAAAATTATTTGACGATATGAAACTTTGTATTACTGAATTCCATTGTAATTTATGCTGAGAATGATTGAATACCCTGTAGTTGATTGGTATTGCATAGTTCTGTTATGAAAAGGCATAATGCTGTTTGTTATACTATTCCAATAATTGATATATGTATATTTCAACTTGTCACAGTCGAGTGACATTGCCAATCTCATCTATTTGATTGCTATTTTCTATTAGCGCTTAGAGACTTTGGGGGAATGCGCTATATAAGCACCGTTTTATTATTATTATTATTAGGCTCTTGTCATATCTGACTGATATAGTGCAGCATCATCACCTAAATTGATATGTTTGCACTCAGAGAACTATACAGGGAGAAATAATAATTTGACCGGGACATATTTTATAAGATTATCAGTGGTGTTACAGAACTGCCAACCATTACCAGTACGTTTTTCCCAGAAATATTCTGTGTTTTTTTCTCTAAATTACGGTAGTACGTTATCATGAAATACGTTTTTATTTCTTTTCTTTTTTAACATACCACACATTAACCAAATGCCCTTAAATTTTGATCACTATTTCAATAGAAAACATACTTGAAGAGAAAAATATTCTCAAAGAGAATGAAACGCCGATAATACCACCCCCCCCCAAAAAAAAAAAAAAAAAAACTACCTACCGGTACTTGTAAATAAACTATAGGTCCTAATATAAAAGTAACATCATGAGGAATGGATATTGCAGTTCCATGCAGTATATAAACCTTGTATATTACATGTATGGTGTCCTCTTTCCTGGCATATCTCTTCTTTAACAAGAGGCACTAGAATATCAAGTTCATCTCGGGCATTATATAGATGATTCAGAATAACAGTTGAAACCCTGAGAGAAAGATCTATGAAACAATTTAAAGACCGGCAACTGCATTTCGTCTCCTTCAGTAAAATCACCTACTAAACCTTGAAACTATTCTTGCTTATAGTAGTCAACGAGGAAGAATATATAAGACTTTCAAATCTGTTGAGATGACAAAATAATGATATTACACTCTTGACTGATGACGTATCCATACATGTAGCGAAGCTCATTATGAATTTCTTGAAATTATATACCGATATTAGAAAGTGGTACCATGCATCACAACTGCTACAATATGCTTGTGTAAGGCGTGTGTTATATATATTAGAGGGACGACTGGTGTAAGATAGAAATCTAATGGTGATGAGAAATCCAATATCTTCTGCCTCCTAGCCGTCACACTCCACTGAGACTAATAAAGAATACATAACTGCTACAGGATGTCTCAAGAAAACCCCAATTTTTCTAGGAAAAAGGTGCCTTGTGCAAGGGTCATTTTTGGGAGATAAAGCCATTGTTTTCATGCTTTTGAACTTGTTTGTAGTTCACAGTGCTTTAATAGGAAATTTCAAATTTCAGTTGTGAAAAATGTTTGAAAGTTGAATCCTAGGACTATGTGATATTGGTGAACTCTATAGGCATACTTTTAGATGTTTTAGTGATGTTTTCTGTTTTTTGTTATAGATGTTGTAGCCAAAAGACCACTACTCTTTGACTACTGCAATCTGCAGACAAAGGGGGCAGAAATCAAAAAGAAAACCTTTTCAGTAGATACAGAAAAGTCATGCATTTACATTTTGTTGGGTCTAAAAGCACCCAACACTCCTACAGTTTTCTTCAAGTAGATCTTAATCTCTTTAACTACCTTGTAGGAATCATTCATTGTAATTCAATTCCTTCAATACAACATGCAATCAAAGGGAAATAGAAGGTTTGTACTCATGCAACTACTTTTGAAGATAAGCTTTCAATCAACATTGAAGAAGAGCATTACAAATCATCAGAAGAGCACAATCAACCAATTACAATCAACCAATTAGAATCAACCAATCACTATCAACCAATCACAATCAATCAACCAATCATAATGAATCAACCATTCACAATCAACCAATCACAGTGAATAAACCAATCATAATAAATCAACCAATCACTATCAACCAATCACAATCAATCACCCAATCATAATGAATCAACCAATCACAATCAATCAACCATTCACAATCAACCAATCACAGTGAATAAATCATTCATAATCAACCAATCACAATGAATCAACCAATCACATTTCTCAAATTTCCCACTATTCAGGAGTAATGACTGTATAAATTAATTAATTTCCCCAGTAAAGCAGTATTAAAACTTTTCAGGGTATTTTATGTCATTAGTTATACAGCAAACTCCTGTTCCGGAGGCTATACTATGATAAAAGGGAGTATTTACATAATGAGCTGTAATCCGTTTAACAACTTTGAGTATTCTAGCTAAATCTCTTCCTCCATTGGTAATGTATCATCCAGCAGGGAACTTTGCATTACAATACAACCATGCAGATTAACTGGAGGAGGGAGTTTGAAATGAATAAGAATAAGATTAAACCTTGCTCTCTTGCTGAGTTTTAGCCTTTTGAAATAGGGGATAATGCCATTATATGGGGCTATGGGAAGGATATTAGGTTTTTTGTAATAGAGTGAGGTGAGGGGGAAAGGTTAAATGCAAATGTTAGATCGACACTCACAAGGCGACTACCATAACTTGCATGAGAAACACATTTTTTGGTAACCCATAAACATTAACGCTTTAAAAAGATGAGCAAGACTTAAATATTTAAAGACTTAATATTAATATTTAAACAAGGAATAGCTGCAGTGGTCCAAACTGACCGAAATGGTCAATCTTCAGACCGCAATCACAAGTGGTTAATGGCACTGTAGGGCCTATTGGAGGCTGTATGTTTAGTCCCTATTGACGTTAGTGATTATGAGTATCCAGTTACCCAGCCCCTCCCATACAGACCCTGGCTTCCAATCCTAGATAAGTCCCTACATGCTTCCCAGGGTATACTCATGGACCTACTATGCTACGGCCTGGGGTCGATGGAATCACCGATATATTACCATAGAAAACTGTATATCCATAATTGTGGTAGGTCTATGATTTTATACTCATGATTGAATTCAGTATATTTGTATGGTGACTTTTCATCCATGAAATGAAGTTTTTCTTCCCAATATGGATCTCTATGTTGTCTGCTGATTTGTTAAAGCAAGAAAGGCACTAACTCTATGTTAAACTCTATGAGTTAATGCCCTTTAGGCTCTTAGCACTGATAATCTGAGAGTATCCCTTTTCCCTAATGCATATCACTATCCAATCGGCCATTCCTGTTATTCTTCTTCATTGCTGATTAGATGTTGGAACATAAAAGTTAGTTTTTCTCCTGCAATTTGACATTTGAAGAGGAAGTTAATGCTCTGTCTTATTCCTAAATCCTAGTACAATCCATCAGTAGTCGAGCGATAAATCCTTTCATGCTCCGCCGGTGAAGCTAGGTTGTAAGGAGATAAAGTCTGTTAGGAGCCAGAAGGATTTTAACTCTTCTATTTATACACATAACTAATGCCCTTCTGGCTCTGAACAGACATTACGTTTTTAAGATCTTCTCCAGGGATGAGGTGCTCTTTTCCAAGGACACTTGTGGGCTAAGAGGTTATAATCCATCAAACGGTTATTGTATACCCATTAATTAGCACCTTATCGGTCCATATGATTTATTTACATAATCTTTGCCCTCTGTCACCATTTAATGTAAAATGTTCTACATACAATTTGTAAATAACAACGATGATGATAGTAATAATGATCATAAGAACAATAATAATGATAACGTTAACAATGACAACAACTACTGCAACCACAATACCACTGAAATGTAGTTTTTGTTTAGGACATATTACTTCTCTAGGTGCTGCACTGAAATGAAAGAAAGAAAAGAAGAAGAAAATGCAAACAGAAAAACGAAAGGAAAATGGTTTACCATAAGCATTACTTCAGTTTTAAAGAGATATATGTCTATGCTTATTCCACCATGTACTGCGTGTATGCCATACCCTTTCCTGCAATACTTTATATCATATGAATGGGGATAGTGCAGGGAGATGACTATTGTTTACCTTCCATGGTCCGCTGAAATTCAATGCAAACATGACATTTCTAAGCATTGAATATGGGTCACAGTCAGGTGAACTTTTGATCAGCATGAAACAAATATTTATTTCAGTTACTACTAACCTTTAATATAGCTCCTCACACTTTTTCATGTTTTGAATTATGATTGAAAATAGTGATTAATCTCTTTAAAGTCACTAAAACAGGTTTATTCTATCCATATTTGTTTGAATTTAATTGCTCTAAAGTTTATTTTCATTAGCTTGCATTCATATCCAATTGGGCGTTTGGATAATTAGGCTTTTTAAATTAAATATTATACAAATAATGAATGGTTATGAGTTGAATAGTGCGAATATTTTCATGAGTTGAAAGATTAACATTCTATTCAACGAGGCATCAGCCGAGTTGAATAGAATTAACGTTAATCTTTCAACGAATGAAAATATTCGCACTATTAAACGAATGAAAAACTTTTCATTATTTGTTTTATACAACATCGAAGAAGATCTAATAGAACGTTAATCAACAAATTATGCTTTAGTCCTTAATTAAAGATAAATTAAAGTTGGAGTCAAGCCTTCTCGATTACATTCAGATTGCCTTCGCGTCAGATACATGCAGGGATACGCGCACTGCAGAGAGGTACGCAGTCTGCATATAACCAAAAATGCACGCTCGTGCAATATAACATCTATTGAATATCATGTGACCAACAATCCTCCAATCAAATGACAAGGATCCACGTAGATGTTATATATCAAGCTGTATTTCAAGATACTGTGTAATCATATTTTCTAACCGTCATCTTTTTGTTTCTTTTATCATTTTGTGCTACCATAGATTCAAGTCATTCCATTGCACCTACTTCCGTGGATATGGAAATGGAAACTGTCCAGCCACCTAATGTCATATGACTGACCAGCCACTGACCGTCTCTACCATCCTGAAGCCAGTCCATGGTCATTTCAACCACCACCCAAAGGAGAACTGATTAATCCTCTGGATAGCTAACGGTCATCTTACTGATCATCCATGGGTTGGCTAGTGGCCATGTCAGTGACCATCTCCAGATGAGCTAATGGTCATCACATCTTATGGCCAGCTAATGGTCACTCCAACTGTGTGGGCCATTCCATCTTATGGCCAGCTAATGGTCACTTCAACTATTTGGGCCATTCCATCTTATGGCTAGCTAGTAGTTACTTGAACTACATGGACCGTACCAATTCTTATGGCCATCTGATGGTCAGCTCAACCACCATCCACTGGTCAGCTAACAGTCTGCTCAACTATTACCCCAGCTACTTCAGTATCTGGTCTAGGAAGATGTGTAGCTTGAATGGGTGAACAGACTGCGATATGTTGATAGAGCTTGTGTCCTAGAACAGAAAGATCCTCTTTCTCTTGGAGCAAGTGCTGCAATCATCTCTCTGTAGGATAGAACAGTGAATACAACAAAATATCTTTCTTTATCAAGAATGGGTTCATCCTTGGTGCCGAGACATTCTTGAAGAAGTCTTGGAAGACATCAGTTCACCATTCCAGTTTCCTTCAATGTTTCTATGTCAATATGCTGCAGCCATTGTTTGTTGGTAAAAAAAGTAAGCTGGTGCCAAAACAACTCAAGGACAAATACCACATTGTAAATATGTATTTCCTCAAAGTCTATCTATAAGTAGCACGGGTCAAGAGGTGCCTGCTGCTACCTACACAATATGATATAATATGGTGTGTAAAACCTGAATAGTATTTTGATTGTTGGTGAGAGACAGAGTGTGGAATGCATACCTGCATGCCTCTGTTGACTTCAGGTTCCAAAGCCATATGTTGTCACGATCACAAGAAGATAAATAGAGATAGGTAGGATAGCAATGTCTTTGGTCTTTGGTGTATGCACTGACCAAAGAATGAACCAATGAATTTCTCTGGGACAACATCCATGGATCAGGAAGTCTGATCTCGACCAGTGCCTATCATCTACCATAGAGTCTCAGTGGCGGATCCAGGATTCCTTGGCTAGGTGGGGGAGGGGAGGGGAAGGGGAGGGGGCACAAAGTCCAAAACTTTGTGACAATAAAAAGTGGATCATCAGTCCATCCTTCCTCTTTTCTTTCTACTTTATTCCTCCTTCTATTCCTCTTTATTTTATGGCTGGGGAATAACCCCCTGCTTATCGGGGCACCGGTGTGCCAGCGGTGGTACTCTTAGCTGGCCCCTCATGAATCCTCAAAAAGGGGCTTCCCCGACTCTCACCTGGATCGACTAGCTCAATTGAGTTGCGACCCGGAGGTGGACCACCCAAGGCATATTTGCGAGGACCCTACGGCTGTCCAGCGAGTCAGTAGTACACCTCCTCACTGCCCAGCCTGTGTTAGCACAAGAGGGTCCTCCATCATCCTTTTTAAGTCCATTACCTGACGAGCCTTCGTCATGTAGGAAGATGCGTCGCGAGACTTAAGAGAGTCTGTCCTCACACCTGTCTGTGGAGAAAAGAGAACCAGTGCTTCTGTAAAGTATCGTCATCACTGGATAAAAGTGGTAAAGTCTTCCAAGAGCAGTTACATCCATCTGATTTAGAAATGTTGTGATTATCTCCCATGGAGATCTTTAAAGGACAAAGTTAATACTGAAAGGATTTATTGTAGGCTACACACCAAATTTTACTCATAAATGACTTATATATCTGTTGGACATGATTAAATGTAAATGCTGAAAAGGTGTTTGGTTATCAAAAAAAATTATGAGGGAAAGAAAGGAAATGTTTCAATAGTGCACACACTTTAATGACTCTCAGAGAACTTGAGTGTTTTAAAGGAAAGAAAGGAGAGAATGATTTATATATGTATAGCACACCTTAATGTATGTGCCAAATAAGGGCCCTGCCTTATGAAACTCACACTTAATTGTATTAAAAATTGGCAACATTACTTAGATCTCATTGTATTTTACCACAACATGACTTTTAACTGGGTCATGGTCTTAATCAATTGATTGTGAGTTTCATGTTGCAGGCCTCATACATGTAAATGTGAGTATGTGAGTGTGTGTGAGAAGTAGAGTTCGAAAAGAGACAAAGGAGAGGTTTTATACATATGAATGAGAGTATATTACAGATGAAAGCTTATAATATTTTTGTACTTGTATAGTCTAGTGATTGTTATTTTTTTTTGCGGTGAGCGTTTTGTACTAATAGATTTCCAAAGGATTGCATTTGCTCCATATGAATAGGTCACTTTACTTACGCATGTTGCTATAACATTCAACTCTCTTTTAAAATTCATATGATCTAATCCATAAACATTATAGGGCATTCACTTAATTTTCAAAGGGAGGTTTGAACATTTGAATCCATAGCGAGGGCATTTATGTTCTTAGATGAGACATCTTTATCTTCTCTCATCCCAGGCTGTGAAACTAAAGCCAATAACAAAATTGCACAGACAAAATATTTCTAAAAAATAAAAAATCAGCTTTTATTTCTTCACATCAAGCTTCCTGTAAATGCTCCTGGCATTCTTACGTGACAAAATGAGTCTTGTTAGGATTATTGCAGCCTTTTGCAGGCTATACATCTATTATAACTCAGAGAATAAAGCATCTAAAGTAATATTGATATGTAGAAAATATGTTTGTGTATTAAGAAAAAGCTCTTTTCCTGATTGATTTTATTCTTGAAAATATGCTAGAAACTTTTTATTCTGGAATTGTTTACTTTTGCAGAACAGTTGAAAACAAATTTTTCATCTATTTTTGCAGACCAGAGTGTGTTATTAGGTGAAAAATGTTGGATATTTTATAGTTGTTTGTTCTAATTTTCCTATCGCATTGGTTGCTTTAAATTGTTTATTATTCAGCATTATGTATTCATTTAACCAAAGAGATATTGTTAAATCATGTTTTATATCAGTTTGATGTTATAGTTCAGAAAATGAGAGTTGTAATGATTTGTTGTAGTAATTTACAAGTGTTGTAGATAGGCTTTTAAAATGGAATGATTCTTTAATGAACATTTCTATATATTTCTATGAAACATGATTTATAATCATATTGGTGATATTATGTGTGGTAGGTAAGGAGAAGAGTGAAAATGGTTATTGAAGAATTATGTTTATAGGTTTGTCATTTTCTTTTGTATGTTGATCTTCAGAATTTTGATGCTGTCGTTACTTTCTTTATCATTCCAATACCGTCAGACTGTTGTGCTTGGTTCAATTTATTCATGATAGCATTTCTTTCAAGGAAATCTACATGTACACATCATCAACTATTTCGACAACACAACACAACACCATCAGCAAATCAATAATAACAAAAAAACATTAACAGCAATATAGAGATCAATTTCAAGCAGCATGAAAGGATATCAATCATACAATGTAGTTTGTAGCAAACACAAAAAACAACACACTACACAGTATATGACCTACAACGTGATTTATCCAAGTCTTGGAAACTTGTCATCTGAACATTTCTTTCATTGTGCATAGATATGCAGGACATATCTGAACTCAATTTTATATACTCTATGTAGTGAGATATCAAAGAAAATTTTACAGACAGTGAAAATATGTACTGTATGTTATAGTGTTGTGAAGAGTTGGTGCTTCAATTTGCAGTTGATCAGTATCATAACATTTTATCCAATCTGAACATCGATATATTGCTGTACTTCTAGTTTACAATGAGAATGTTAGTAAAGCATGTTTGTATGGAGATGTAACAACACATTCCAATCTGTTCCATATTGCAGAGTTAATTTCTCAACACTCCCAATAAAACTTTGCTTTGTTAACAACAATCCTTTGTTACAGCAAATGATGATATATTTTTGAAATACCAATGCAGATTATAAATAGAGAATACAGTTATTCAATAGAGGTACAAACCTCAAATGCCTCTAATTACAGATAAAGAGATATGTGTTCGTCATCACTGAAAGGCTTGTATGAATGCAAACTATGGGTTTGTATTGGTCTGTGGTGTTGGTATCCTTACAAGTTCATTTATAGAGGAGTGTATTCTTTTTTAGATGTCTACTCTTGGAGATACCATACAGTTAAGATCATTTATACTACATCAAGTTAATATTTCCCTAGGAAGTATTATGCAGGTAACCTTGAAAAAACTATCTGAGTTACACTAAAAACTCCAAGCATACCAATCACCTTTGAAGACAGGTTCCCCCATGAATACCTTTGCGCTCTTCAAAGTCACTTTACTCTTTAGTAATTATTGTAGTTTGCTCTTTCTTTTTCCAAATGAGTCACTTTAAAAAAAATTGTCACTTTAGTCTTCCCTTTGTATGTTCATTTGAATGCTTAGCATGTTTATTAAAAAAAAAGGGAAAGAAAATAAAGTTATTATAAGCTGCGCTATTCTGTACATCATTCCTAATTATGGTTGTTTATTGTTCTTCCTCTTTATCATTTGAATACCGGTAGATTAAACAAAAACAATTTAAACACAAAAGTCTTGACATACATTGCCTAGTAATGTTAGTCACTTTTGGATTAGTGTTTCAGGAATCATGTTTTATTTACTTTAAAAGAAAACAAGATATCAAATGTTAAATCTGTCGGGTTTAGCAAATTTGATTTGTACATTGCCAGACAAGTACGTGTGTGTTGCAACTGAAAAAGGTCTTTTACATGATAAAGAGGAATGAAAATACAAACTCTATCTCGTTGTTATAAGAGACTTCATGTAAGGCTATTTCTTTCTCCTTTATGCCTAATGTTTGATATTGGCAGATGTCCTTGCTTTTGATAAAGATTTAATTCTTATATATGCTGAGTTTGACTTTTTTACCCTATACATTACATGCATCTGGCGTATTTAGTTTTGTAGTTTTAAGCAGTATCTCTATACATTTTTTTTATATTCCAGCATTTGCATTTTTCTATCTATAAAACTATGAAACTAAAGAGGAATCAATCATGTAAATTGGATAAACCTTGTACTAACAATATTTATCAGTGATAAAAGAGTAAATTGAAAGTACTATCATGGGGATACTAACATAGATACATTAAAAACTGTGTACATCTAGAAGGCTCCGAAATGAGACCGTTAGACATAACTTGCTAATTTTCAAAACATGAAGAATGTTTGAATTCAATGTAGCAATCATGGAGAGCATTTTGACTTGTTATCCAAATAATTATGATCATGATGTTTAATATGGTCTGCTGAGAGGAAGAAGGACATTAACTCATATAACTTTACAAAGAGTTAACGTTTTTCTGGCTCTTAGCAGACGAACCCGAGTGCCAAATAGTAACATGTAAGTTGTATAAAGTAAGTATTATTATCTTTTCCATGATGTAACACAAGCTAACTTTATGATACATAGAACTTGGTAGTAAAATTAGAAACCTCCTGGGGTTCAATATCTCAGTTTGTTTTATGAGGTGAAATTAGAAGCTTAAAAAATTAACTGGGAATCGAATGACTGTGAAACTGCATATATACGTTGAAAATTGATATTGGCAATAATAAAATGGGATATTTGTGATTTTAATTGACTGATGCTCAAAGGTGTCTTTTTGATATTGTTGATACTGGTTGTATTGATGGTAGGAATGATGGTGATGGTGATCATGAAGATGATAATGGTTATGGTGATGGTGATGTGATGACGATAATGATATTATAATGGAGATGAAGATGATGGACAATGATGAGCAAGTGTGTGCTTGTAAAAATGATGCCTGGCTGGAATGCTCCCCAGGGAGTGGAGAATGTGCATACATTGTGTGTGGATAAGCCTGAATCCAATGACCGGGGTAATAATATTTATCTATGAAGTGCTTTGAGAGGGCCTACGGTCCTGAAAGCACTATATAAGAACAAACTATTTTTATTATTATTATGGTGGTGATGCAGATGATGATGATAATGGTAATGGTGATAGGATGGTGGAGATGATGATGGTGATGATGATAATGATAATACAATAATTGTGATGATGATGATATCAATTCTGATAATTACATATATGACATCAAAGAAAATTAATTTTCATGGAATTTGGTGAGAGTACAGGTGATTAATGGAGTGATAAAACAGAAACACTGGAAACACTTCAAAACTAAAATTGCTCAACAACAAAAAATTCAATCTTTCACCAAAGAGTGTGTTATGTTCAATTTTTATTGTAGCTTATTCAACCATACCAAAGGCACAAAAACCAGCATATACAAGATTTATTTTGCATAGAAACACACATCAATAATATATTGCGGCGGTAGGAATACAATCTGCAATAAAAATAGCTTTTTGAAAATTGGAAATTATTTGATCATTTCACAGCATTTTTTGTTCCAAGAGCTCACTTAGACTGTCAAGGTGATACCTTAGAGGACGGAATATTGAAGAAAAAGATTCAGGTGCAAAAATAGCCAAATCTATCCAACTATGCTTCATAATATTAAATACTAGATAAAGGCACACACACAATTCATCAAATTATCTTATGTACATTTTGTTCCAGCTGATCTACTGCCAACAATATACATCGTTTCTCATAAATAAAATGTCAATTATAGAAGTATTTCATCACGTATGTACAATGTTCTATTTACATGTTTTGGTGTATGAAACCAAGAGGAGTGTAGGAATGTTTGATCAATACTACTCCAGAATGCAAGATCTTCACACAAATGTCACATTTCTTTATATATATATATATATATATATATATATATGCTTGCTCAATACAAAGGATCTTATCTTCATTTCATTCCAAAAGATGAGAGCTCTCCTTGAACCAAAAGCCACCCCCCCCCCTACAAAAAAAAAAAAATATTAATAAAAAAATATTAATAAAAAAATGAAGAAAAAAATAATTACACTATGATATAACAGACAAGAGTAATTGTCTGTATATGTGATGCTACTCTCGACATTATACACATCATACAAACATGTATACACATGCACAAGTACTAACTTTAAAACTCTGATGTATGTTAAAATTTATGATCATCTGCATCAACATATACTTGTACGCATATGAAAACATCTTCTCCATCATAAGATTTATTTGTATCTATATTCCCATTGCAAAGTAACCTCAAATAGTTTTCAGAGGTCAGTCTGACTTTGCAAAAACTATGACTGCATGAAATGGACTTGTCAATATGTTAGTGGAGAAACATCTACTCGGTATTATGTTGAATGGTCTATTATAACTAACCCAAAGTCTATTAACAACAGAAATAACATTTTTTTTCCAAAATAGTTTTTCATGACTGGCCATCACAATTCAAGTACACATATGACAGAATCAAGAACGTTTATAGAAAACACTTTAAATATATAACTTGACGCTCATTCTAGAATCAGGCAAGACTTCCACACCAACCAACAAAGCAAGAAAACCGCAATTTTGATAAATATCCAAATATTCTGTTCTGCTTCTCTCACCTCCAATTATCAAATCTTTGTAGTATGATTGGAAACCCTTGCAAATCACTGATTCTAACAATTATTCTATAATACAATCTGATATCTCCCATATCATTCTTGTAAACATTATGATATACTTTCTATTTATAAGCCATCAACTTTATATACATTTTCAATCAGATTTTATACAGGACTTATACAGATTTCAGAAAAAAAGATCAAGAAGTTAATGTAAGATAGTTGGTAAAGGCACATATAATATTTTTCTTTGAATACTCTTGTAATATTGATATAATTCATTATTTATCTTTATACTGATGAAGCTGCTTCGGGCAATGATGAATGAAAGAATTTGTAATATCATTTTTTTTCTTCAGTTGAATTTTGTAAAATATAATTGCATAGTTCCTTTTCAAGGTTTGATCAAATTTGGGGGTTTGAAAGCAATATGGGGAATCAATACAGATGTGCAAAACAATATCAAGTTTTCAATGAAACCTTTCAATCTCAAATCTATAATATGGGTATTTACATTTCACATAAAATCAACTATTGATTTCATTTGAAAATTAAGTGGAAATACAGGCCACAAAACTGAAGTCCTAACATATTTCAAATAAATCAGTATTCACTGCAATCACTATGATATATCACTTGTCTATTTGACTCAGGTATGAAAAATGTACATACATGTATATAACATTTATGTAAGAAAAATATATAAATTAGAAAATATATACATTATGTAAACATAGAATTTGTTCATATTTTCACATCAATGCATATCTAACAATCCCATTTGGAACTAATTCACATTTACGAGACATTAGGTGAGACATATACTGATATTTAAGCCAATTCATTATTACATGTACAAAAATAAAGAATTCTTACACAAATTTAAGACAAACAGAAAAGAAATGTCGCTTATTTAAATTCCTATTTATAAAACATCAAATGTTTACTAACAATACTTAGTGTGTCATTGATGATTTGAGCATGAAAGCATTTCACTGTAAAAGACATACAACACATACATGTAACTGTCAAATAATTAGCATAAATTAAAAACAATTTCATACAGAACAAGCAATATTTTTCATCCAATTTCAATTCTTTATTAATCCATCATTATCTGTTCACAAGTCAGAAGATGAAACATCTTCATTCATAAATTGATTTTTAACTCTATTTTATAACTATCCACATTTCCACTTCAATATAAATGAAATTTAAGATGGCTGAGGGCACACAATTATCTATTTTTGTCTTACATGTAATCATAAGTGATGCTAGGGATGCTTTCACATATGAAATGACATTAGAACAATTTACTGCCATATCTAACCATCTGTATATCTGATTGTTGTAGCTGTACATGTTTGGTCCATTGACACTCTAAAACACGGCAGGCAAACACCTGTATCATCATCTATTGCTTTATGTACTATTGATCGCTGTCTCATTTCAGCATTATTATTATTTAATGTTGTTTGTTCTCTAATAACCAATTGGCTTATTGCAGTATCTAATAGATGCTCTTGATTATTCCTGTAAATGCATGATCACCATGGTTACTAATCATCCAGCTGGCAGAGAGCAGCCACGCCCCTATTGGTCCAGTGCCTCTGGGTCTTATCCGACGGCAGCTCCATCCACATCACAAAGTTGGTGGAATGACCGGTGGTGGAGAGGGTGCCACGCCTAGCGCTGGTCTTGTAGACGGGCGTGTTGTAGATGGAGGAAGGTTTGAAGTCTGCCTTGCGACCAGGCTTCATCCAGATGATAGGGATGGTGTCGAAGAGTGTCTTGGGGAGGGATTCAGAGAGGACCTTGGTAGGACGATCCCAACGACATCCCTCTAAGAACAGACCCTAAAGGGAGGAGAACAGGATAAAACAAGCACACATTATACTTCCAATCTTGATCTTTAAGATGTCATCAGAGCATAAAACTTACAATTGATGGAAACTTTGATGTTCATGGTAGCTTCCATGGAAACCTTGATTTGATTGGCTGTCGAGTGATGTTGCCATGGTAGTTGATATTGATGGCAAGGTTACCATCAGCGGTACGTTTTATGCAACGGGCCCAGTTCTTTTTTAAATCAAAGTTTGCAATAATAATATTAATTGGCTAGGCAATAACCCCCCTTTCTATACACAACCCAGGTGTGGTAGAAGTAATTCCTTGAATGCTTTTAGTGCCTTTGGGCACATTGGCTACAGCCATGGTAATAGTAGCATACACTTTGTAGATGCCTTTCCTTGAGTATCCCCTGGGATGGACAATATCACTGCAGCTATTGCTATCATGCATAATTGTTGTACTCTTAGACTGACAGTTTCACATATCAATAATTACATTTAAACAAGGCATTCAACAATTTAGCAATGAAATCTGGATTTGTCAAACACATTATAACCTGACAAGTGCTCCATTTTCTTGACTTTGGCCCATATGGTAGGTCTACATCCCAGACCAGTGTGTATGCCCTAGCTTACACAAGGTATTTTCTGCACTTCAGCTCTCAACAGTGAAAGAACCTTCAGACATTCCTTGAAAGCTGTTTTAGAGTGTGTACATTGGAGGTTATGGAAAGCCAGGGCGATACCACCAAGGACCTTGGGGTAGATTTTTTAGAAATATTAAAGCCGGACTGCCCTTCTTGTAGAGCCTTGCGCCCTCTACATAGCCAACAATGCCTAAGCGGTACCCGTTGATCCCCCATGATCCTCTTTTTCTTATTTTAACTGAGAGCTGATTTGATGAGATAACCACCTGCAAGTGACCATGCAGGGAGGTCTAATTCCCCTTGCCAAACTAGTGCAGATAGGCTTTAAAGCCCTTTTGTACTATCAGCTCTCAATTAACATATGAAAAAGAGGATCATGGAAGACCAACAGGTACCGCTTAGGCATTGTTTGCTATATAGAGGGCGCAAGTAGCTATAAGCAGTGGGGCTTTAAATGCACTATCATGACATAAAGCTTGCAAACAAAATGACACAGAGTTTATCTAACTGGTCTAGCATACATACCTTGATGAAAGCCCCATCCTCAGGCCTGGCACTGACAGAGTCTTCAAAGTCAGTCACTTCAAACTGGAATCCAAGATGGTCTATGGGAATGGTGTACTTTCTGGCATAGTTCTGACTCACACCTGATGAAGAAAAAGAATGTATGATATTATGATATTCTGTTTAATAGTCCTTTCATACCACAAACACAATTCATGCTCCAGCTTGCTCCCATAAAAACTGCTCCAGGCTATATTTTATCAAAGATAGAGAGTTCAGGTAGGGTTACAATTTTGGTTGGGTTGATGGTTCAGTTCAGGGTGAAGTATAGTTTTAATCCAGGGTTTCAGTTAAGAATTCAGTTAGTGTAGGACGCAGATTTCGTCTACTGCATTCTTCATTTTGACTGACCAGTTTAAATATAATACATTATGTGTAACTTAGCAACAATTGTTGATTAATTAAAAGTATATTTGGCTTACCAGTGAGGAAGGAATGTGTGAAATAGAATCCAGACACCCAGAATACATCAGGGGCACCATGTGCAATCCAGTCATTGAAGAACTTTAATCTGTAAAAGTACCAGAGCACACATTAATTTAAAATGAATACTTGTACTGAATTTGCAAGGAATGCATATATAATCGATTAAATATACCGACTTCAGGGTGCCATCATTCTATCTTGATGGTTGAAAATCAATGACATTTTTAATTGTATAAATTTTATTAAACAAAACCTTGAGTTGAGAAGAGCTGCTTCTATTTTTTATACAGCTTGCAAGGTAACAATCAAATATTATTATTATCATTATTATTATGTCTCACTCATTTCTCAAAGTCTGAATGTTTCAAGATCATGAAGATGGGCACCTACCTGGCCAGGAGATCATTGATGTAGCTACCCATGGGTTTGAGGGAAGGGTAACTCTTGGCAGCCCACATAGGAGGTACCTTGCCCACCAGCATGCAGTCAAAGACATCCTCAAGCTCCGAAGACATCACCACCAGACCCTTGATGGCCTTCTGGATATTCTGCAGACTGGCACGGACCACGGTGGTGAGGCGGTTGAAACGGATCAGCTCCTGCCTCAGGACAGTGTTCATAGACTCCTCATAGGTCACAGGGTACTTCTTGATCACCTGCAGCGATAGAAGTATGAAAAGTGTTGCGGAAAGAAATGTTATGACTTCATGTCTTCAAGAAGCTATTAACTCGGGTACCCACAACCACAACTATGACAATAGTGAGGATGACAAAGATAATGACAGTGAGGATGACTAAAATGACGATGATGATTATGGTAGGTACTCCATTTATGGTATATATTAAATTCATGCTGTAACATAAAGGCTTGTACTCATATGATGTGGTAAACCATGCCGGTTAATGGCAGGTTTTTTTTCAAGCATACCTTACACATCCTGCACTTTTTTCATTTCCACTCGCAATTCATTTAGTACACACACACAAGAAGAAAAAAACCCAGATGCAGTTTATTGCAGCATATGAGAACGGGCTTTGACTGTACAAGACAATAATAATAATATTCAGTTTTTATATAGAGTCGCACCCTTCTACCAGTACTGTTTTGGTGTCCTGATACTGCATGTATATCAACACAAGCAATATGTTGACCATTTTAGGGTTCTTTCATTCATCACATCAGTCCATTCATATAGTGTCAACCAGAGAGTGACATCAGGCAAAACTATCAATAAAGGTGTGAACTATAATCAAGTAAGGAAATAGGGTCACAAAGGGTCAGTCATGACTCGCAGGACAATAACGAAGGAAGTTTCAAGTTTCAAGTTGATTTATTTCTACTTTATCGAAGATAACATAATTGAACATAATGAACATGGTAATTATTATAACTAAACATACAATATAGAAACATAATGTACATGGTAATAGTTATAACAAAAGATACAATCATAAGTTTGATAAATACATTGCAAAAAAGCTAAATAAAGTGGGGGATCTACTAAAAAGCAAAGCTTGTATTATGTAGGTCCCAGTTAATAGGTTTGTATATAAATTAGGGTATCTGAATAAACATATGTACGCCTACAATAGAAGAGACATATACATACCATCTCCATATCAAAGTTTGGAGGTAGCTTGGAGAGGATATCATTAGCAAGATCCTGGATCTGTTCAGCGGGTGACTTGCCCCCTTCTCCGGCCTGACGGGGTAGGGTACACAAGATCCCATCAAATAACTGTGAGGAAGAAGAAATCAATAGGTTTTAAGATAAATGTTACTTGAAGAGGCACGATAGCTCAGTCGGTAGAGCAGTGGTCTCGTAATCCGGTGACTCGGGTTTGAAACCAAGTTGATGCGCTAGTGCCCTTTGGTAAGGCATTGATCCTCATTACCAGGTCCCTCGGAGAGGACCTAAAGCTGTCGGTCCTCTGGTTGCTTACTTACAAGCATCTATGCCTTCCTAGCAGTCAGATAAAATAACCAACACCACTAATAAAAAGAATTGCTGAGCTTGAGGATTAATATTGCTCCGATTGTTTGTTTTTTAGTGTGTGTATATGTTTTGTTTCTATGCAAAATGATTACTATTCTGAATCTAGAGGAATGTACATTTACCAGAAGAAGAAGAGTAGAGAAACACTGTCTAAACAGAGACAAAATGGGATGATAAACAACTTACAATCACCATTACCTTGTGCGCATTTCATTTCATCACATAATACTATCAAATGGTGCCAGAGGTGTGATATCAAGCCCCATTTTTTCAATAATAGATACCAATATATATATCTTTGGGATGTTCGAAAAATAACAGAGGAGCTAGGAACCAATGTCTACTTTGCTTTACCTGTTGTGTTTCTTGGTTGTCCTTTGTGATGTCAGCATTCTCATGAAGTCCAAACACCTCAGGGTGGGGTATGAGAGGTAGACCACGCAGGTACTCCACATAGCTCTCATAGTCACCATGCAGAGGACAGTAGTACATACCGCTGTCTGAGAATCTGCAATCATATGACAAACAAACAGAGACATTTGGACGGGGTTCAACACTAAATTTTTCTTGGAAGGGGTCTGGACTGACCTTTTGGAGTATGTATGCATAGGCCATATGTAAACATATAAGAATTTTTGGTGTACGGACTTAGATTGTGGGCGCTGGGTGCCTGTCAGTGTCGTGGACTGCATTTGCAATAATAAGAATACCGTACATTTATATAGTACATTACATAATACATTTCAATGCGACTTAAGACACAAAACCATAATGCAGGGAGTGGGCTGTTGGATGTACCCTTGAATCTTTGGATAAGGTACAACGTAGTGAGGGGAAAAAAATCTCTAGTGTCTATTGCTTATGTTAAGCCATATAATTAATGTAAATGTAGGTGTAATAACAATCCAATTATGACCTTAACTATGTCCACTGAAACAATTTCTACAATAAACTGTTTGATTTGAAAGAAACAACAGATATGACCGGTGATACAAATGTGTATTCTTTGGTAGATCTTTCACCACGATTGAGAGTGTTCTTACGTGAATTTATCTTGCTCCGTGACCTCTGGTGTGTAGAACTTGGACAGGAGAGACATGAGAAGACGTCTGTCCTTGTCGTCCGTCACACGTCCACCATAGTTACATTCCCCGGTCAGGTAGATCAGGGCATCGTATGGGGTGTCATCGTAGTTATTCAAGAACATCTACAAGGTAGAGGAAATGATTTCATTGAATGAGCACCAAGAAGGAAAATGAATAGCAACTTCTGAAGCTTTATCCAGACATGGTATATGTTTGATAATTTTTTACTAATCTATATCACAATATCTGCCTAATACATTTCTTTCATTAAAAGATAACAGCATAAAAAACATGGGGATGGTATTCACCACAGAATTCTTAAGTAAACAGAAGCAGAGATACATGGATAAATGACAAAATTTTTAAGTACAGAAAGAAAACAAATCCATCAACCATATTTTTAATGAGAAAACTATTACAATCCCTCCGGTTAAAGGTCGATTTATCAACACCCATATCAAAAGCAGATTTCAATCAGGATAATAAAACAAAATCTTTTTAAACAAAACTAATAATCTTAATGAGATGGGGAGGTGTTGTGGTGGGCTGTACAGAGAAGCAAAGTTGTGATGAAATGGCTTACCTTGAGCTGTGTCATACTGATCCTAAGATCCGATTCATTGAACTCATAAGGGATGTTCCAACCAAGAGGACCAAACTTTCTTCTCTCTTGGGTCAGGGCATGGAAGAAACACAGACTGAATAGAAGCTTCTGCCAGACCACAGGCTGCACAAAGATCAAACATGCACAAAATAATTAACAATAACAGATTATAGCATTAGTGATGATGATGAAATACATTGGGATGTTTATAATGCCTATGAAAAAAAGTAGCATGAGAGAATACAAGAGAATTATCTTGAGGGTAAGTCTCTGGTTGCCTCATTAATGTTAAAGCATTGTCTAATCATTTAAACAGCTATACATCAAGGCTTCATCTTTTTCTAATATTGATTATTTTTATGATATAGTAATTATATGACAGCAGCTATGTATGGCACAAAGAGGGACTAACGATATGTATTTAATCACTCACATTTAGTTTTTAATCATTCTAAGTACTACAGAATCAAATTTCAAAGCAGACATGAAAATACTGGTGCACGAATGGTAGCAGTATTATACTTTGGAGTAATTACAACAAAAAATTCTCAGTATCATCCTTCCTTTCAAATGGGAATATATCTCACAGAGATGAGAATCTCAAGATGAATAAACATCTTTGATTGTGAAGAGAACTTTTTTCCCTCCATCATTCATTAATTGAATGATATGTACATAAGAAACACATAATTATATTGATTACAAAGAAAAACACATAAATTATACTTGTATCAAAAAATTAATTATACTTTTTTTTTAAAAACATAACAAACATTTAGAGAACTTCTACTGACCTTGTTGCATCCTTCAAAGAAGCTTGGATCTGAGATGGGATCATTCAGGTACGATCTGGTGAGGTTGGCTCTCAATCCTTTAGGGGGTTCATTGGTCATCTTTACACCTGCAACACAGAATCAGAGATAGATATCGTATCATCAATTAATACAGCTAATATACCACATATCACAATCAGAAGAGCAAAGTCTAAAGAATCAATTAAAGCCCATCTGCACTAGTTTAGCCAGAAGGGATTAGACCTCCCTGCATGGTACTGACAGGTGGTTATCTCATCAAATCAGCTCTCAATTAACATCAGAAAAAGGGGATAGTGGGGGACCAATGGTCACCAATTAGGCTTTGTTTGCTATATAGAGGGCGCAAGTAGCTCTAAGTAGTGTAGTGGGGCTTTAAAAGGTGTCTTCAAGATGCTTCTTTAGAATGTAGAGGTGTGAATACTTAGTCGGACTGTGGATCACAGGGTTTGCGGTGGGCAGCACTAATATCCTTTGGCAAGACATTAATCTACATTTGCCACTCTCTACCCAAGTGTTAAGTGGGTACCGGTAAAAAGGAATTCGTTGAATGCTGTTAGCACCAAAACTGGTAGCCTAGCAGAGTTGGAGTAATATTAGAGCGCGTGATCACCTGGTGGATATGTGCGCTATATAAATTTCAAATATTGAAATTATTAGTCATTACTATGAAAAAAAATGTTCTTGTTCTACATTTGTATCTGTTTTATTTCTCTTTTCTTTTATGTTATCTGATGGGTTAAAGAACGTACCATTCTGGAGGATGGATACAGGGAAGGCATCCGACGGGTAACTGGTCAACCACAGTCTGAAATCACTATGCACATTCTCTGGTATCAACACCTCCTCACAGATAAACTCCAGCCTTGGCATCCAGCTTGTCGCCAAGTGACAGTTCTGTAGAACCACCCATGTACCCGCTTCCCGGGCATGTTCGATCATCTTCTCAGCGATGGGACCTTGGCCCTGCCCGAGTGAGATGGTGCTGATGCGTGGGCCACCGTACCCGTTATCATCGGCGTACTTCAGCAGACCGGCCATAGGGTCAGCTCCAGGGGAGAGCACAAACACCAGAGGGGCGCAGCAGTGGGAGTCCGCGAAGCTGCCTGCGAGGTCAAAGGTGGGAGGCTCGATGTAGTTGCGACCGAGTTGGTCCACGATGTAGTTTTGGACAGCGGGTACCATCTTGTCGGGTCTGAGGGCGCGGAGGATGATCATTTTTGGCATACCTGTCACCATGTCGTAAGGGGCGGGGTAGCTCTGTTCTTGAGGAGCGGCTGAATCGTAGACTTCTTTCCAAGCATCACAGTTGGTCTTCACATCTGATTGAAAAAATAGAAATAAACCATACTGTCACTACATACCATTAAAGCATCTACTTTCTTTATTAGCTCAGCAATGCCCAACAAAGTCTCATCATTTGAAATGTAACAAATTTGTTGTAACATCAAATGTTCAGTCGGGATAGAAACCAATTATGAAATCTACAAGTTAAGAAGTTTATTACAACAATATCATTAAAACTTTGATAAAAATCACCATTCTGCACGAGCACACACTATTGAGATATGATGCAATAACCATCATTAAAAAAACTGGTGTAACAAATTATTGTGTGTAAATTCATGCCAAGGGGCAACTATGACAGAGATTAAAAATATATAAAAAACAAAAAAATAAATAACAAACAAACATCCAAAGCTTGGCACAACAATGGCCCTTATACTTTACCGATTGATTTATGCATTATAAAAAACAGAATACATGAAGTGCTTTCAATAAAGTTTTGCAACAACACTTTTTCTCAAGTAATTTACTACTCATGTGTGAACATGGTATCTGCCTTAATATCCTGCCTCATTATCCTCATCACCAGATTCACATAAGGCAGCAGAACAGAGTACAAGTCAAGCGAATGAACTTACTTTGCCTGAGTCCATCTAGGCTCTTTAGATCAGAAGCCCTAACGATCTCTGCCCATGCTCTATCAGTCAACCAATCAGGGCAGGGGTTAGGGTAAGGGTTCTCTAAGGCCACGCCTCCCGTCAACAGGAATCGCCACTCAGTATCGTCAACTTTACCCCTGAAAAGGACAAGATAAACATAGCAAGATTGTAGCACATGGCGAAGTAAGATATCATTATGGTAGCCAATCTACAGGAAAATAAAAATTCATAGTCTTAGAATTCATAGTCTTAAATAAAAAAAGCATGAGATTATGAAAGATGGTCACTCGATCCTTACTTGCTAGTCATGATGCCAACAGCCAGGATGGTTGAGAAGAGAAGTTTATCTTTCTCAAAGAGAGATCTGCAGACGTTCTTATAGATGCTGTCGGTGAAGTGATCGTTGAGATTATCAATACGCTCCTGAAGGACAGTGGACTTGCGACTGTTCTGGATGGACTGTAGAGAGAGAAAGCAATGACAACAACGTCAATATCTTTCAAACTGTACATATTTGGAGTGATAGCACAAACACTTATGTTGTACGCAACAGCAAAAACAAACGTTCTTATTGAAAAGTTGGTTAATGAAATTGTATTCTAGACACAAGTTTTTGAGCGTTATGGCATCCAAGGGGGGGGGGGGGGTAGCCAATAGCACTGCTGATTCTTAGCGTATGATCATATGCATGAAGAAGAATCTTACGTGTACAAACTGTCTATTCGGAAAAGATTTGTTTGAACTGCAAATGTAACTACAAAAAGGCAGAGGATTGCAGTGCCTGTTTATAACCATCGATTAAGATGAAAAATTCCCTAAGCACCTTCCTACACTTACCTGAATGTACAGGTTTATAAACCATGTGAGCGAATACTGGTACATAGGTTCAATGTTAGCTCAATCATATGCTTACCTGAATGTACAGGTTTATAAACCAAGTGAGCGAGTACTGGTACATAGGTTCAATGTTGGCCAGTTCTGATATGCAGAAGAAGAGTGTTGCAGAATGGACAGCCACAGGGTGGTAGCCATTCCTTGTCTCATCAATTTCCTTCTCAGTCGCTGAAGCAATTTCCTAAGGAGGGTCAAAATTATAAAAATTGTCATTGTCCTTATAGAGCTAGGTAAAGTAATTAAAAGAATAATAGTGACTAGAGATACATATCTTGAAATCTGCATTCATTCTACATTGCCATTTCCATCTCTTTGAATTACTACCACATCTAATCTATGCATCAGTTAGTTTATCTACCACCTTTCTTGTGGTCTGTTTGTATGTTGCATGTACTTGTCTACCTATTATCTTTCTTTCTCTCTGCTTTTCTTTCTGTCGCGTCGCGTCTTTATTTACTTTATCTATGCATTAACGATATTGTACAAATATGTTTTGTAATATCCATGAAAGGACCCCCCTACCTCTTAACTTCTACGCTGTTGTATCATCCTCTATCAATCTAACTACTTCTTCATTTACTTTATCTACATATCTATAGATATATCAGGTTGTGCAAGACTGCTACTTGATATCTATCAGTGAATCCCTCTGCCTTTGTTTCTCTCTGCATTCTTACATCATCCTCTCAGTCTCCATACCTGTTTAGCAGAGATCTCCTCCGAGAGGGTCTTGGATGAGGACAGGACCTTGATGGCCGTCTCGTCCTCCAGAATGTTCCCCTCCGAAGACGAGAGGATCTCCAAGATACTGTCCTCAATCTCCTTCAGTTGTTTCTTGTTGCTGGCGCTCTCTACGATCAGTTGGTTCTTCTTCTCTTCCAGCTCGGGTTTCTCCTTGGCTGCTACCAGACCAAGGAGCTGGTCTTGGAGACCCAGGGGTGTGATCATGAAGTTTACCAACGCAACCTAGGATGATGGCAAAGGTAAGAGACACACCACAATGAATGAGAGAAGACAAATTCTCAAACATATTAAGCAGCTACAAGTAGCATTGATTGAACCATTTTAAGTACTATACCTGAGGTAAACTTGGGCTGGAGTCTAGATGTAAACAAGTGTTATACCAAACCACATAGCATCCACCAGGTTAACTGTTTGTGAGTTTGTCCGTAAACCCCCTGTGCGTTGCATTAATTCGCAGCGTGCACTTTTTGTCTGTGTTAAGAAGGTACACTGTAATTCTAATTTTAGAAGGCTGTAACTTTTTACTTGAACATTTTGAAGATAAATGCTGTGTAGCAGCATTTTTTAAAGTTTTGTGAACCCCCCCCCCCCCCCAGGTAGAAGGTGATCGAGTTTGTCTGTCTTACCTTGACTGAGATCTCAGGTAGATAATGAGGGTTTCTCAGGGATGTAGTGATGTAGAACCTGAAGTCTGGTGACCATTCAATCACATTCTCACCAAGGCGAATGGACTGCACAAGTAAGAAAAACCAGGAATTATTAGATATGAATTCATGATGTCTACAAATATAGACACAAAAATCAATCAATGATAAATACAATACCAAGAGATTATTTTGATCATATTTCATTTAGCTTCACATATTTTTTTCACCTTTCTTTTCACTTCCATTTTTCATGAAGAATTTTCACAAGAAACAGCAAAAAAAGAAGAAGCAGGAAATAGATAATCACAATTACTGTCGTACTTCAAGAAGAATCATATTCATGTATATGTTCATATACCACAACAATTTCATAAGCTATGACAAGATGAGCAATAACTTCATATTAAATAATTGAAATTCATGAGTTAGAGTAGTGATTGATGAATAGTTTCATTTCATCAAACAGAAAGTCAAGTTAGCATGCACAAATGTGAACAGATGGTACGTCCTGAATACAAACAAGAGGTATGAATTACAGCTTAACTCTATGATGCAATTTAATTCATTGAAGATTTGATAGTTTGCATTTTTTCCCAATTTTGTAAATGATATGGTACTTTTTTGCTTTTGGTGCCCCTAAATATCTATCACGATCATCATCATCACCATCCTCCTCCTCCTCATTATTTCTTTCACTTACCAAGACACCTGATACTTTGAAGGTCTGTTTAAGAAGGATGGATTCGAGGAGAGGGTCCAACTCCTCTCCGACGTTCTCCAAGAGGACTGGTTTACCAAACTGGATGCTGTTCTCTAGGGTTCTTACATAGTTGGGATCAGAGAGCTTGATGATGGACAGCTGGTTGGCTTTCTCCATGTTCTTCACCCATTTATTAGCTTGACCTGTCATGGTATGAACATAGGATCTCTTGAAAACTGACATACTGTGGATCTAGAACCCATTTCACAAAGCCTTTTTTCAATGACCAATGACAAAAATCAGTGACAAATCTGCTGATAACCAATCAGAAGCAGGGATTTCAGTACCTTATAACAAAAACTGTCATTTATCTCTGATGACAAGTTTTGTGAAATGCCCCCTTGGACATTACAGTACAGGAAAGGGGGCCAGCGCTCTGTACTAATCCTCTAAACAGTTTTACAAAAATCGAATATGTCACCGAATGTACATGTAGTGCTATACTGCTACCCTATACTGCAACTTGAAGCTGATGAAAAAACACAGCTCTAAATAACACTTTGTTTTGCATTGAACTCTATGCAAATTTTAGGGGGCTCTTTGGGGCATTTTGAGGGCTATATTGCCCCGAGCCCTGTGTATTTTTAATTAGGTAACACCAAAAAGGATAAATATTGAGCTGAAGTCCTTGGTATACACTCACCCTGAGGGTCAATCATGAGGGGCCATCTCCTTGAGTTGGATACAATGATACCATTATCAATAGAGAAGGAGTCTACAGGGAGACCAGCAATGTTCCATGCTCGGATCTTCACAGGTTCACCTAATGTAGCACTCAGTGAGAACGTCTCAGAACATGGGATCTTCTTCTCTTGACAAAGCTTCAGCCATTCATCAGTAGCTTTCTGCAAATCACAAGCATGGGTTAAAATGGTCACCACTGTTTAGCTTGACTGCATATATTGTCAATGATACTGCAGACTCATATCATCTGTTACTATGCATAAAGGTAATGGATTCGTATGCAAAATTAATTAATTTTGTTAACCTGTTTTGCTTCCTAATTGTATTATTATTATATTATATCAATACTATTATATTATAGTGCTCAAAACATAATCATTTTATATTGAAATTGTATGTACACTTCATCCATACCCATCCAAACTGAGACCTGCTAAAAGCAAGTATAGAAATCCACTATATAGTTTTTATAATGCAACAGAGAAAAAGATGTGTTTGATGGTTGTTCAAGATGGAGTTACAAGAATTACAAGTTTGTTAAAACCACAGTCAAATCTGGACAAAGTAAAATAATAGTATATTGCTTTTAAAAAAATCAGCTATTAGCTGATTCACACTATACCTCCTCATTTCTGCAATAACAATATATGACAATTAGGTTTAATGGTTGTATTTGCTTGTAGATAGACCTACCTGTCTGTAGTCCACGGTGAAGGTTCCTAGGTATGCTACCACACCAGCTGATATCAAGACATCACCGGTGATAGAGATAAACTTCTGACCTAGAAGATTAGCTGCCAACTCCCACCGATCCTTTTCTCCTCCCAGACCACCGATCAGCTTCTCTGCACGGTCAAGCTTCTGAGAGCAGAGCTCGATGTTTGCCTCCAGGTCCTGCTTCTTGTCAACCATGCGCTCCAGCTCGTCGTTGAGGGCCTGGAGCTTGTCAGAGACCTCCTTGAGCTGAGCTCGTTTGGTGTTAAGCTTCTCCATCTGGATGGCCAGCTCCGCCTCAGCTTCGGCAAGCTTCTGTTTCTTAGGTCCTACCACCTGGTGTTGACAGAGAAAAATAATATAAAGATGTTAGATCAAAGATCACCCCCCAGCAAGGATAGTCTTTCTAATCGCCTTTGAATATTTGTTTGATAACCCATACCGACAATACACCATTTAGTTTATGTAAATTTACTGTGACCTACATGTATTCACATCCACCTGATCTAGATAATGCCATTGGCACTATGACAGGAAAGCTCATACTATTGATTTTGAACATTATCAACATACTGAAGATTTTTTGTGTGCAAAATCTCTGCTATTGGCTATTGTCATGTATGTCAAATGAGGCACCGACTAAGAATTACTAACGTGATGGTTTACATGATATTCAAGACCACCTATGAAAGACAAACTTTGGGATGCGACTTCACTTTGACCAACCATGTTGCGTTGCAAGATTTTTGTTATGTGGGATATAATTGGTCACATTTCTTGAAAAAGAACTAAATATTATTCTTTAGATATCCCATTACATATTCAGTAAAACACCCTGAGCTTACAAGACACTTTTATTAAAATAACAATCTGAGATCTATACTAAATGTCATGAACAGAATATTGTTGGTTACCTTGGCCACACGATCATAGACGTCCATAGCCCGGACCCACTTGCAAAGACCTTCACAAGCAGTGGAGATGTTCTTGATAACTTCGGGCTTGAAATCTGGGTTTGGTATGTACCTGGTGTAAAAAAAAAAAGGAACATATGTTTGTAACAATTTCATCACTTTACAAACTGAAAGTATGTATCCCTCTTTTGCCTTTTCTCCATCACAGAAGTATTATGTGGAGGTGTCATGGTATAGTGGTTCATTCACCGGACTTCAGTCATAAGGTTGAAGGTTTGAATCCCAAGCCAGCACTAAAGTCACTTGGCTAGACATTAATATGCATTTGCCACTCTCCACCCAGGTATCAATGGGTGATTGATATACTTGAGCACTAGTTACTTTGGCAGCTGGCTTTAACCAAGGTAATGATGTTGAAGCGCTAAGAGCATCAAAGCTTAATGGATATGATGGCTTCATGAAAAAAATCCATTATCCTATCCTCTATTTGAAGCCAGAGGGACATTAAGCCTCATCATTTAAAACAAAGTTAACGCCCATCTGGCACCAAACAGACGATATCAAGAAGACTTAACAGTTCCTAGAGGGTATTCAGAGAAAAAGGCTAAACTGGACCAGGAGCCAACTTACTTATCCCGGATCTTTTTCATGATAGCAGGAGCGATGTTGTCCTTGTCATATTGCTTGAGGATTTCCAGGAACTTCATGTCTCCCAGAAGCTTCTGGGAGGGTCCCCAGAAGTCCTCCACCATCTTACCGCTGCCGTTGGGGTCAGGCTTACGCTCCGGTTTGACTGAACGCATCACGCACACCGACTCCAACACAAGCCTCACACCACCAGGAGGGTTCTAAGGTTAGAGAAAAAGAGATTGGCTGGCTCAACACTGACTGATGCAGGGAAACCTGTATACAAAGACTGCTCAGGGGAGACCAGACATGTGGTCTTTATAGGCAGGTAGTCTTCATGTATATGTGTCTGTACATGCAGGTTATTTTAGTTCAGGTTTCAATGAGAAACACTGCCCTTTACGTCTTAACTTGTGTATATATATTTATTTGCACAGGTCACTGTAGTATAGATTTTGATGAGAAACCCAGTAAAAGGGAACAAGTGGGACCTTCTGTGCAAGTGTCTTTTCAAACAGGTAACTTCAAGACAAAAAACAATGATTTCAAAACATATCAAAAATACATGGGCCTCCGTTTTATAAAACTTGTTATCAATAATAAGTTCCAATAACTGTTATAAGCTACTGAAATCGTGGCATATGATTGGCTGAAGACAAAATTGTCCTAGAATTTTTACATTAAGTAACAGCTAGGGCTAAGGCAGAAAGATTAGAGGGCAGATATAGAGAGCTCACCTTCATAGATTTGACCATAGAGATGTCACTGGGTTTGAGAGTGTTGAGAGCAGAAAGAGAAGCTTCCAAGGCAGGGATAGCTTCAGCAAGGTCTGCTTCACAGTCAGACTTGATCCCCTGTGCTACACCAGCTGCAGCATTGGCTACGGCTTCATCTGCTGCTACGACCTGGTGTATGGGATAGAATACAAGGTCAAAGTATGGCTCTAGGCCCCATCTTACAAAGAGTTATGATTGATCCAAATCAATCACAAGTCCTCCAATCAATCGCAAGTTTGCAGTCTCCTATCTCTTCTGTACATAGTTGCGATTGATATCAACTCTTTTTAAGACAGGGCCCTGGTTTGCATAATGATGTAAAACAAGAAAATTTCACAATGCAAAGCTTCAGTGATTTGTAAAGAAGAGTGATTTTTCACCGCAAGAAACTTTCATGTAGTGCATAAAACCAGTGGTTTGTCACTTGTGATGCAATTATTTTGCGGCATGGCACTGTCATTAATCTCAACCACTTGCAAACATTTCTAGTGCGCGAAAGCCTTTGGTCTTACAATAATATAGAGGGTACATTAATTTAGGTTACCTTTACTTTTAACTTCTCTTTGATTAAATTTATCTTTTAGATAACTAAAAAAAAGTCCCCTCTTTTCTCAATCGAATTAAACACTACAATGTAAACTGAAATTCTTCACCTCAGAATTTAATTAAACGATCTGTCAATCATGCAAAAAGTTTTTGATTCAGACCCCTTTGAAAGAAGTCAGTGTGGCGCCCTGCGGCGATGGAAGCAGGACGGAAGCAGGCCACCCTGAGGAACACCGACTTACCTCTTTCTGTGCCTCCACCTCCACTGTATCCTGCTCAATCTTCTCCATGAGAATGACCGTCTCCTCGGAGGTCTTGATGAGCTCCGGCTGGAGATCAGTCAGCTCCTGCTGCATGACGGAGACCTGGGACGCAGCGAAGGCCAGCTTCTCAAGACCCACCACGTATCTGTTCTTCATGGTGGCTATCTCGTCACGTTTCAGCTGGAAGAGCTTCTTAAAGGTGAGGATCAGCTCCAGGTAGCTGGTCGGGGTCACATAGTTGTGACGACGCAGGGTGTTTAAAAACCTGGGAGATGAACATAGACACATTCAATATCTCTTTCTCAAAAGGCTCCATAATTTTCAGTCTTTTCCTGTTGCTAAATTATCCTAAAACATTCTTTTTTTTAATTTAATGAAAAATGTTAGTTAAAGTATTATAATAAGGAGTTCTTGTTTCCTGCATTCCAATTTGGATATGCAGATATATACCTAAAGCAATTTACTGTACGCACCTACAAAATATTGCATATTCTTGCTGTGGCTTCAAAAATTTAAATGTTGCACCATGTCTTTCAGAGGTTACAAGCACATTTACCCTACTCATACAAATTTTAAATAACGTTTCAATCAACACTTCCTCAAGTTCCAACTCTCAGCACATGCAATCAATGAATTTAGATTTTCACCAATATATAATATAACTTTATAATCATACAGTCAAACTTGTCTATAGCGACCACCCAAGGAAACACAAAAAGAGGCCTTCGTAGACAGGTTCCTTTAGTACATGATTCAATGCGAAACCATTTTCAAGGGAAACAACAAATGTGGTCTTTGTAGACAGGTGGTCACTAAAGCAGGTTTGACTGTACTTTCATATGATCCTCCAAGAAGAAAATGATTTTATTCACAGGTTGCCATCAGACAGAACATTGTTAAGGAATAATGATTAAGACTCCTGTCACTTTACATACTCAAACACTTACTCTTCAGACATCATGCGCACGCTCTCATGGAAGTGTTTGCACATGGCGACAGATTCCTTGCGGACATGATCATCAAGGTCCATGTCTTCAAAGAACTTCTCAGCGACCATCTCCAAGGCATCTTCTGGCCACGCCTAGCAGTAAGCAAGAATTAGATACACAAAATTACTATGACCTTCTCTACAGGTGATTCAGACTATTTTCAAGTCTCTTGTAAATTCAAAATGATCAATTCAATATAATAGACCTGCTTTATAGCTTTAAAGCAAACTAAAAAGATTGCCAGGGTCCTGTCTGACATAGCAACAACTAATTGAGCAAAGACTATTTCATTCACAGAGATGCCATGATTCATAGCTGGTGAATAAAATGACTGGTAACTAGGGGTTTGGAAGTGGAACATGCATAAATTGAAATAAAATTTAAACAGGTCTATTCCATGCAATGATGGTTTTATTTGAACAATACTACGCAGCCAAAGGCTGAATTGTGCATGTATAAAACAATGTTTCAATGTCATTTCACATTGCATGTACCATTAAGAACCACATTAAAAATGACAGCTCATCAATGAACAATTCTTGATAGAATGTCTACTGACTACTATGGGTTAGAGGTTCTTGCTTTCATGCTATAACAATAGAATCTTTCTAAATAGAGTGGCACCATTTTCTTCCTTGAACTCAAGCCTACCTGGAACCAGTCAATAGTACAGCAGTTGATGAGAGAAGGGAACATCCTCAGTCTATTCCTGAAGGCATCTCCTATCGGACTCATGGCCAGGACCACGTGAAGATGTTTACGTACTCTCTCAATAAAGTAGTTATACATGGCAAGAGGTGTAGCTTCTATCTTTTTACCCTGTAATGGTAAACAAGAAAGCAATTAGGAAATGCACGATAAATGAAACAAAAAAAGTCAATCAACTTAAGTGATATGGATTTGCCATATGAACATTTTAGTGAAATAAAATCAGGCATAATTCATCTTTTATGAGGTTGAGAATCTTCATGGAAGTACCAATTACCAAAAAAAAAAAAAAAAAAAAAAAAAACTATCTTTAATAATAAGCCAGTTTTTCTCCTTCAATTTCTAAATATATATAATTCCATTAAAATTTTAAATCCTCTTTTAAGTTCATCACCAAGAACGAGAGGTTATACAAATTTGTTCATGTATTTTAAATTCCAAATAATGACCATGAAAATTAGAAAATTAAATAAACTCACAATGTCTGTAATGATAGTTTCTGCCTTGCAATACCGGTATGTTTCATTCAATCTTGACTGTATAGACACATTTATAAGGTAATCCAAGGCTATTCTGCGGATATATATATCAACCACTTAAAAATGATTTGAGTTTGTATGTAAAAAAAGATTCTACAGGCCCTAGCCTGAGATACCTTGAGAACCATTTAAAGGTGCTACATCTTACCTCAGTTCTAGCCACTGCCTGCATCTTCTCAATAATTTCAGCTTTTTCATCGGCAGGGTAGAGATTAGGGACATCCCCGGTGTTCAGGATCATGTTGATGTCTTCAACAAACGACTCGTCTTTGATCTGGTTGTCACTGAACAGGAACGTAGTCTGTTTGCCCTCTGCACCGGTCTTCAACAGAAGCTGTGTCCAGAAACAGAGAAGTATGTTAGTATGATAGAGTAAGAATAATACAAACAAATGGGAGAAGAATTAGAAACTTCATATCCCTTCCAAAAAAAATTTGATATATCCTCCGTCCAAATTCATATGATTTTTGTAGTTATCCTATGTATCTATCTCAACAAAGACATTGTATTTTGCATTTCAATCATGATTCCATGATTGTAGTTTGACTTTTGTTTGTAATATCATGATGTTACAGAGAGTTTAGAATTCAATCAAACGAAATTGAAAATAGCCACACTGTATTTTACATCACTTTGCAGAACAGGACCCCATTTGATACAACTTTTATCAATAACAAGTTACAACAACTGTTATAAGCTAATGAAGTAGTTGCATGTAATTGGCTGTAAGCAAATTTTTAATGAAAATGTGACACTTATTGATATTGCTATTAATAAAAAGCTTAATGAAAAAGGGCCCTGTTTCTATGTTTGTACATTTAGTATAAACTTTACTCATTATCTCTTCCAGCAAAAACTCAAAATGTTCTTTTAAGAAGAGCTCTGTGAATACTTTATAGTCAACAAAAAGATTCTACATGTCAGCTATTCGGTGCTAATGAGATGAAAATAATAACAATGATAATAATAATAATAATAATACGTCTTGTTTTCCCAAGGTAGCCTCATCAATACTAATACTTTTCTATGCAATCATATTACATATTACCCGGCTTTAGCCGAGCTACCATGATAAGGCACCAAAGCCGTCAAGGAATTTCTTCCTACCGGGTACCGATTTACTACACCTGGGCGGAGAGTGGCAAATATAGAATACCTTTTTTAAGTCTTCTCTCCATTCATTATGTGTGTAATTCTTGGTAATTTCAATCTGAAAGAGCTCAAAATCTGCCATAGACGTAGCCAGCTTGGTGGCACTCTGACGTCCACTGCCACCGATACCTGAATGAAGGAAGGAACAAAAATTATTCATTTTATGCTCTAATTAAGGATTAATCAATTAAAAGAATTAATTACTACAATAGAATCCTAGAATTAGTGCTTGATTAATTAACAGTGTTTATATATCATAGTGATGTTTATCAATAAATTCAAGTATAAAATTTCCCAGCAGTAATTGGTAAAATTATTCAAATCTCGTTTCTTCTTTTCATTCTATACAACTTTTTAAGGTTGACCTGACTAGAATAATAAAAATGAGAGTGGTTTTGAGTATTGCACGCATGTCTGCAACAATTTGATACTCCTGGGGCTTCAATACTGTTTTCCCAGTTACACCTGAGCGACAACATACTTAAAATTCTATCATATACCCATTTACTTGTACAGCTGATAAATACTTTGATGACTTTCCTTTCGACATTTCCCTATGTCGTACAATATCGTGGAAATAAGACCAAAATAACTGCAGGTTCCACAGACGATCTTAGAACTCAAACTTATCCAATTGAGTTGAAGACTTACCGATTAGGAGAGCATGTCCATTGTCTTGTTTGAGAACACGACTGACCCTAGAGATGTGCTCGATAGCAAACTTGAACATGACAAGTGACATGGGTGCCTTACTGATCTGGTTGAACTCGCTCAGGTAAAACTCCATGGTCCCTGTCAGCTCTTTGATGTTAGTGATCTCATTGTACGTTTTATCGTCAGAGTCAGGGTTGCCAAAGTCTCCAAAGAACAAAGATCTAGAGAGAGTGTGAATGCAAACAATCGTTTTCAATGAAAATGTGAATACAAAATCATTTCAAATGAAACATTCAGTAATGAAGGGAAAATCTACACAAAGTACACCACAGCTATCATGATCACTGTGTCTATATGAAAGATGAATGCTAATTATGCAATCATATTCCAGATTCTGCAGCATATATTACAGTATCTATTGGTATTTTACAGGACGACCCTGGCAACCAGCTTCTTGCTCATAAACATTGTGTACAGCAACATGTTTTTATGAATATCATGTGATAAAGCGCTGGATAGACAGAAAAAACGATGACGGATATTCAGTCTCTTTTTCTAGCTTAGGATATCTTACCTGATATTATCATCGATGAGTTTTCCAGATGGAGTGAGATGACTCAAGACTTTATCCATGCTCTGCTTAAACATAGACTGTGTGGTTTCTTTCACAATCTCAAAGAATGTGATTCTGTTCATGAAAAGAAATAACAAATGTTCAATTAACCCATTTGCTCACTGGAACCGAGTAATCCCTGTGTTAAGCATATGGAAATTAGATAATTCAGTAGTCATTGGGTTAATATATATAATACATATATGTACAAGTCATTCTTATATCTTCAATTTAGAGCTAATCTTGATACTGCCCTTCATCATGTACAATAAAATGTCTTTGTTGGCTACTTAATGATGTCACCTGAATGTAATACTACATGAAATAATAAGGATTCATAATACAGATTTGGCACATTCGCTTAATGTTAAAGTACTTATATTCCGAAGCTAGATATTACCCCAGAATTACATATACATATTTGACCTCAAAAAGAAATATTTAAACCTATTTTTGAAAGTATTATTATGAAATACTGCAATGACAATATCTCTTAACAATCCCTGTACCCGCTAAGCTCTGTGTATATAATATCATAGATAAACACATCATAGATCAGCTGGAATGCTCCCCAAGGAGTGGAGAATATGCATACATTGTGTGTGGGTAAGCCTGAATCCGATGACTGGGGTAATAATAAATATCTGTAAAGCGCTTAGGCACATAGTTGTATCAATGTATTGGGCGCTATATAAAAGCGGAATATTGTTATTATTATAAACACATTGTTTTTATGCATGTATACAAGAACAAAAATCACAACTATTTAGGTATGCAATATTAACCTGTCTTTGTCATCAATCAATCTGTCATAGAAGACTCGATAGATCTCATGAATCCAAAGCCGAATGAGCTTGTCCTTGTCATCCTCCTTCATGACTGTCGATGGAACGAGAAGCACTCCACGGATCACACGGGCAAAGTCACGAAGGTTGAACACATAGTGAGACTTGGAAGGTGTCGGTAGGAAGTTTGTGATGGCTTCTTTGTACACACCCAGAGTGGCTTGAACCATGATCTGTTGGGAACATAGATCAAGATTTGAATATGATTCGTTCTTGGGTGTTATTTATTAGGATGATACTAGCCGGTTTATCATTTTATTGTCTTTCAGGAGAGAACAATGTTTTGATTTTTGTATCTGACCCTAACATCAACATTATGCACGACTTATTCAGAATGCTAAAATTGAATCAATGAAATACTTGACTTATAGAAAAGGTAAAACCTTTCATTGTGGTCTTTTGTTAGTGTCACATCACACAAGTAATGCTTACAACCACAATTATATGATCGTCTTTAATAAGGTATTCTGCATCCTCATGGTGCATGCCTCACATCATCAATATCCCACAAATAATGTATTTCATATTAATGTTTCATGCCAGGTACTTCTTGGAAAAAATAGAAGAAACTATTATGCCTGAGGGCTTGATATTTTCCTCTGTCACCTATTAGTATGAAATTATGTACAATGAAATGAAAACAATGATGTACATTTAACCTGTAAAGAGAGTATTTTTTGTATGTAGACAACCTACTTGACCAGGCCCCTGTGGCCTTTATAAGTTTCTCCTTTATTCTCAATTTCACATTACCTAACTTAATTATGAATTTATTATGGCATACTTGATTAGATATTATATCTATATCTCTTTTGTGTAAGATCACAATGTCTCTATTTTTATGTATTTCACTGTATATCTGTTTTTTAAACCGGAAAATAGAAATAAACGAAGAAACAAACATTCACCTTTCCAAGTCGGGCGAAAGCGCCATCGAAGCCTTGAGCGAAATGCCAGTCACCGATAGATGTGAAGATCTTGACCATAGTCTCATCGTCAAACGAGTCGATGGAGATGATGTTATAATGTCTTGTGAAGCGACCGGTGATGTGATTCCTACCTCCCCCAGGGGGTCCCATTGCAGAGAGGAGAAGCTGAAAGACAGGTTGAATGGATTTTGTTCAAATTCTGAGGGGCTTCTCAATAGAAAATTATCTTATATAACTGTTATTTTGGTTTCACAAAAACAAGTTTGATCTCTGACTGAAGTATCAGTGATAATTGTCATGGTGGATACAGAATTGTAGGTAAAGCTTTCAGGGTTACACCATGTAATTCTTACAAAGAAATAAGATAATGATGTGCAAATTACCATGAAGGCTTACATTATAAATTGTCAATACACAAATTTACGAAATATATTCTATAATTAACCATAAATTTATTTCACAGAAACAAGTTCTTTCAGCTGACACTTCCAATCATCAATCCTGAATTATTCCACAATTATTATAAGACTTCCTATGAAAAAAAAAAAAAGTTTATCACTATAATCCTGAAACCTCTTTCTGTTTAACTGTTACAGATTTAGAGGTGCACCACACCATATACAGTGATACCTGTATACAAAGACCACTCAGAGGAGACAAGAAAAGTGGTATTTGTAGGAAGGTGGTCTTTAAGTACAGGTTCCATTAGTACAGGTTTCAATAAGAAACTATTATCAAGGAAAACAAAAAATTAGGTCTTTCAATACAACTGGTCGCTACGACTGTACATTCTCTATGTCAAATGAAGTGGGTTCTCCATATTCACGGTAACTTTCTTATAAATATGCCTCTATATTAGAAGAGCCTGCGCTATGTACTATACAGATTTTAATGCGATTTGAATGAGTATACTCACTGCATCAACGATCTCCAGCTTGGACGTATCCTTCTTGTCATACCAATGCTTGTGATCGATCCACTGTCTGAGTAATTCAATGGGTGGCTGAGCTCCGTAGATCTCTTTAGCTGGCATGTTAAGATCATCTACAAACACAACACACTTCTTACCCATGGGTGGACCGTATACTCCTTTGCGACGCCTGTCAAGAAACAAAAAAAAACAACATCAATTTACTGAGATATTTTTGGAAACATTTTGCAATTGCGAACAATAGCCACTTCCGAGTATCAATAGATAATTGTTCACTGTTGATCACAAGAGCAGTCACTAAAAGAGAGTCCCAAATAGGCTGAGCCAGCTGGTTAACTGCTGTTTAGATGATATCAAACATCTCATTGCAAATTAAATCTGACTTTATGGTATTTAACATGCTCACAATGAAAAACAAATGGTCCTCTTAATACATGTACATAATAATGCCTTCACATACATACCATTTAGCCAAGAAATAAATGTACCATGCGTTTTAATTTGCCTTTTAGAACGGCAAGAGTTCTGTGGTCGATCAACTGCTTAATAGCTTTCGAAAACAGGTGAAAAATCAAACGTGCACAATCCTGAAAGAAATTATCGCAACATAATTACATGATATTGAGATAGTCTTAACATGAGGAGATTTTGAAATGTCTTTCTTACCTGTCAAGTTTGGACATGATGATGTCTTGTGTCTGGTTTGCTGAGGTTCTGGCTGAGAAGTTGATGGTATTGGCAACATACCTGAAGAAAAGAAAAAGTCAAATCTTTCAATCAGAATCAATTAGAAGCACTAAATCCAAATCAAGGGTTATTCGTTAATAAATTCTTCCCTATTGACACTTTCTCAGATAGATTAAAAAACTTAAGTTATCTGGGAACTTATAGACAAGAAATAAAACTCTCTTATAATCTGCATTCTATCTTACCATTCAAAATAACAATCGAATGGATCAATTTAAACTGTATTATAAATTCTCTCCCATCGCCTTTTTGGAGCCAGAAGGTTCGATGGTCTGGTGGGATGGTTTGTTTTACCCTGGGTACCTGGCAATTGCTTAATTAATAATAACTGCAGATCCCTCAGGAAGAACAGCGGATGCTGATGGGGTTTCCCTGGGTATCATTAACGAGCCATAACTCAGGTTCTTACCTATCCTTTGGCATGCCAATGAGTTGATCATTGGCGATGGCTGATTTTCCCGTACCGGTAGGACCCACAAAGAGAAGCGGTACCTCATGAGAGATATAGGCGTCCATGAAGAAGATCTGACGAACCGTCTCGTTGGTTTGGATGATCAAATCACTCACCTACACAAAACAAAAAATGAACCACAGTAAAATAACAGTGATTCCCTATTGAAATATTTCCATTGAGATGGTCATATCTCAGCCAATACCTAACAAAATTCAATTGGTTTTGGAAATGTGGAAAAAAAAGATTATGCTCTTTCGGAAAATGAAGTTCAAATTGAGAAATTCTAAAAGATACTCTATAGTAAATACTAGATTCTGGGACAACTTTTGCTCTTTGCCAATTAAATGCAATCATTTCAGTAGCTAAAACAGTTATTGTAATTTGTTACTGATGATAATTTTTTAGAAAAAGGGCCCAGCTGGTGTAACACTGTCCAACTTACCTTAGCTCCGGCTGGAATATCAATTTTGGACTTGTCTAGGTATGTCATCCAATCATTCCATTGACCGCTGGCAGCCTTATGGAAGTAGTAGTCATATATCAACCCTCTCTCGGGGAACGAATTGCTCTGAAAAGTTAAACAAAACAGACAAATATATATATACAGTGAAATCCATCAGACTCTATAAAGACTGCCCAAGGTAGACAAGAAAAGTGGTCTTTATAGGCAGATGGTCTTTATGTGCAGGTTCCTTACATGTGTTAATGAAAAACTATTTGTTAAGGGAAACAAAACATGTGGTCTTTGTAGACAGGTGGTCCCTAAAGACTGTACATGAAATGGAAATATCACATACATAGAGTCATAGTGAATCTATGAAAACAAATAATTAAGATTACTTTCGTATTCACATCCTCTATGTGTCCATTGTATGACTCTCAACTTTTGCTATAACCTCCTTTTCATTTTTATTTCACACTGCCAACTTTGTTGCATTGTTTATATCAATCCAACTGAGGCTGATATTGCTTTCATCTCTTTTGTCCAAGAACACAAATGTTACTTGTATTCATTTCTATCATTATTATAACTGCCTCATCCCTCACCCCCTCCCTCTCTCTCCCTCTCTCTCTATCTCTCTCTCTTTAACTATCTCTCTCTCTCTCTAACTCTCTCTCTCTCTCTCTCTCTTTCTCCTCTCTTTCACTATCTCTCTGACTCATCAAATCCCTCTCCATCTCTCTCTCTCTTCACCTACCTTGGTGATCTTGATACTCTTTGGTTTTGGATGATCCGGGTGCGTTCCGCTGATGAGGAGACGGAAGAACTGATCAAACTTCTTCCTGCTGTCTCCCTTCATGGTCCCACCGATGCTCCACACCACGCAGAACAGGAACAGACCCTGAAGCCACAGAGTGATCTGAAAGAGATTAAACAAATAAACAATCCAGATTAATTAGTTTATCTCTATTTGTAATTAGTACTTTCAATACCCAAGGTCTCAAGCTTGAATGATGTAAACATTTTAAACCCTGAGAGTTAATCATAGACAAGAACCCAATGAAACAGCCCATCTTGTAAGTAGTGATCAAGTAGACTTTCTATCAAGTAACCGATGAAGGAAGAAGAGTGACCAGGGGAGTGTTTCACAAAGACTAAGATTGGCTTGAAGTTGGACTTAACTATGGCAGGCAGTTCATGCCATTGTTTGCTCTCACTGTTATGATCTTTAGATAATATTTTTTCCTTCAATAATGAACTATCAAAAAATGTGAATTCTGTAGATTTGTGACCATGATTTGTACGTCCCTTGAGAAACCAATGTCAGTAAACGGTGAGAGAAAACTGTGGCATGAAGGGCCTGCCATAGTTAACTCCAACTAAAAGTTGATCTTAGTCTTTGTGAAACACTCCCCATGTATCTCATCTAACAGACATATAGGGTCTCAACAGAGAGAATACAAAATGGATGGGTGATAAACACAGAGATACACCCAATAAAATAAGTTAGATGGGTGATAGGAACTGAAATACTCTGAAAGATAGACCTACCTGTTGACTACTCATTTCTGAACCTTCTGAGCCAGAAGCAGCTATCTCATCTAAGAGACATGTAAAGAGTCTCATCAGAGAGAATGCAAGATGGATCGGCGATGTTTCCACAAACAGCTTGCACTCATGACGCAAGAATTCTAAAGTGGAAAAGATAAACACATTTCAATATTTGAAATACTCTGAATCGAAACCCAAATATTCTATCATTCTGTATTATACTATAGATATATACATCTATTAGATGCACAACTGCACTTGCAATTTAAAATTTCATAAACATTTTGCCAATTCAAACAGATTATAAGAACATAATGTAGCTACTAGACATTGAAATCTGGAGATATTCTGGGCTTTAACAAAAGGTGCTTTCATTCCTAGTAAGTATTTTATTAATTGCTACATGAAGGGTGAAAAGCCTCATTAAGGACATCCCAGAGGTGGTAGATGAACTTGACAAGTTTCACAAAATAAAAGAATTTTCTTTTACAGGGGGGGGGGGGGGGGGGGGGGGGGGGGGGGGGGGGAGGAGGGGGTATAATGGCATTTTTTTAAAAGGAAGACATCTCCCACACATAACAATGGATAATATATGTTGTTTATACAATTACATATTTTAAGTTCCATCTTTATCACTTGAAATTTTGCTCTTGTTTCCAAAATAACCCGCTATTTCCTAAATAGCAGGCAAATATGCGCCCATCTTCATCTAGTTTGTGATTAGCGTATCGGTCTGGTGAAGACGCAATTTGGAGCTTCAGGAAAATAGCTGGTTATTTTGCAACTTTGGTCTGATAAATGCAGGCCTTTTGGGACAGTGCAGACACCACCAGCAAGACGCTCTTACCTAAGCATGGATCAATGAGCCATTCAAAGAGATCATTGACAAGCTCCCTGTGTTCCTCCGTCAGGCAGGCCGGTAGCTCATCCATGTACGAGGCCTTGAGAGGTTTCCAGCCCAGCTGATGAGGCTCCATGAAGATCATACCGCAGCGGGACACCGTGGCTGGAGACGCCTGCTCCAGGTCCTCAGCCTCAAAGATGAGGTTCTGCTTGTTGCTCATCTGAACGATCTCACCACTCATCAGGCACAGCTGGGATGGATACAAAGAATTAATACAACATTTAGAGGAGGGGTTATAAAGATATGTAGAAGTGTTGTAGTCCAGTGGTTTAAGCACTTGACTTGGAATTCAAAGGTCGTGCTTCGATCCCGACACGGTACTAATGCCCTTTGGCAAGGCATTAATCTTCATTTGCCACACTCGACCCAGGTGATGTAAATGGGTACCTGGCAGGAATGAATTCCTTGAAATACTGGAGCGCTGTATAAATGGCAGCTATAATAGGCTAAAGCCGGGGTAATAATAAGTGCGTCTCGGAATAGAATTTCTAGATAGACGGCGCTATATAAATGCCAAACATTATTGATATATGAACAACTACTGGTGCTGTGGTTTGATCCTTATGCATTGCCAATGCCTTAATACAAAACACATTGTCTGCTAACATCCAGAAGGGAAATAAGTTTTACAGAGTTAATATTGTCAGCAGATAATCTGTCTACAAGTGTTTTCTTAACCCGCATATAGAAGTGAAATAGAAACAAAAATTCACTTAATTCAGTGAGCAAATGTTGTACTGATGTACATTTGATATATAACCAAATACTCACTATTCCATTCCATAATAAAAAGAATTGAACAAATAGAGAACCACAGTACAATTTCCTGGAAAACAAATTATGAGATATAAAGTGTTCAATAGCTTATCTATAACCAAAACTAATACTACCGTCACTGCAATGCTTGGTTTTAATTCAACAGAGGCAAACAAAATCGATCCATATGAGCCCTCTGCATGACTCCTCTAATTTCTGAAGAGTTATTTCTGAGCCAGACAATCAACTTTAATACAGAAGACAAGTTCATACCTTTTTGTTATCATCCAGTACGGTGTTCATGTTTTCAATCCAAACAGCGTCTACAGGACCATCAAAGACAAGCCACTTCCTATCTTCTGTGGTGGATGCTGCCTGCTCTCTGAAGGAGTTGGCCAGAACACCTACACACACATGGGAACATACAATGTAGATGACTCAATGTAAGACCTAGATATACACAGTCATAGTCTACATACCTGTTACCAACCCCATAATTTACTCAATTTCATTGCACCAAGTATTCAGGCAATAGCCTAGGCATGATTAAAAAAAAATGTTTTCAACAAGGTTTCTGTGGTTATATTCGATAAATAAAGTATGCGACAATACAAACATAACATTGATCCTCACAATCATACAAAATAACTTCATGAATAAAAAAAGTATATCAATGTTTCATTTATCCTTTCTTCACCATCTTCATCATCATCATCATCATACTACTCACTAACATCCACTTCATCAGTGTAAGCATCTTTTCTCCTTTGCATCATGTGTCTATTTTCTGTACAATGTTGTTCTTAAATTGTTTAGTTCTGTAAACATTGTATTTTTAATAAGAGATGTGAATTAAATGAATTTGAGTATGAAAGTATCAATTATTTAAAATGCTTCATCCATTGAGCATAACTGTTAACTTTTGAAAATAAGAAACAGGCATTCGCACATGCAGCGGCAGTGTAACGGGCAATACGCCGGTAAATCTGTACAAAAAAAGGAAAAACAAATCCGCTGCTCGAACATGCGGCCATTCAACGCACGCAATACATGAACCCTCAAATCGCGGCACATGATAAAACAAGCTTAATTGGCTTAGAACTTTATAGAAGGTCTAAGCAACAACAAAACAAAAACAACAAAAAAGAAATTGTGAAAAATAAGAATATTCTGAATTTGTAGGTCCTAAAAACCCAGAAAATCTTAATATTCCGGATTATTCGGAAGGGTTGGCAGGTATGATTGAGGCCTGATACATTAAAATAACCAAAGGTCCTACCGTCTGTCCATTCATGAGACACTGGATCAAAAGCACCATAGAGCTGCCCCATGGTGATACTCTTAGGGTTGATGATGGTCATGAGAACCTTGAATTCATCCATTAGATTGGCAGCGTGGAGGTCCCCCAAGGAACCTGCCAACACCCGGTAGGCGCTGGACTTACCCCCCATAGGGTCACCCACGATCATGAAGCCGTGACGAACCAACATCATCTCATACACCTATACAGAGATACAAAACATTATCAAAAGGACATCTTACAAAAGATAGCATAGTTTGAATATTTCAAAGAGCTAAAAAAAGTAATTATGATAATAATCCCAACATTTTCTAGGTAGCTTATGAATAAACAATGTCGGACAATGGAATTGGTCAAGCTCACAAACAATGATTTCATTCCCGATATTTCATTCTCTATATTTCATTGTCTATATTTCATTGTCTATATTTCATTGTCTATATTTCATTGTCTATATTTCATTGTCTATATTTCATTCTCTATATTTTATTGTCTATATTTTATTGTCTATATTTCATTCTCTATATTTCACTTTCAAGTTAGGAATAAAAGTAGTTACTGAAACCGAAGCAGTTTCTGGGTTTAACACCATTAACAATGGAGATCTAGGCAATAAAATTTGATGTATATTTCTCTTTCAAAATTATCTTTAAATGGCAAGATATGACGGGTAAAATGAACAGCAACTATGCACAACAAAGGACTTGCACATATTCACTGAGCTCTGTGTTATATGAGGTGAAGCATATTCCATTTACTTCATTATATAACAAAATTGCCACAGTTTATTGCATCATATTAAAGGGATCCGGTAACTTTGTCTTAGATCCATTAAAAAAATCCTTGATTTAGCACATGCTGCAATGATAATTATAAACCTTTAGGTCAGTCAGGAACCCCATGAAATTTACAAGCCGATCGCCCGTCTGATTATCAAGATAGTTATGATTGGAAATGGAAACCAAATTTTATGTTTGCCTAACGGTTTCCATAAAACTATAGTCTATTGGGAAAAACGAGTATGGTAACACCGGTCACTCAAAGATTTTTACTTTCTTGAGGCACTTCTGGATCATTATTTTGAAGTGCAATTTTTTGTTAGGGCTTCAATATTACACCATATATCACAGACACTGATAACACGTAGGGCCTTGCATCTCAGATTTAGCATTGTTAAATGATGCCTTTAAAGGTAATAAATGGAAGCTAAGAATAAAGTAGGTGTGTTGTTACTGTACCTCAATGATCTTGGTGATGAACCATGGTACCGGCTGTAGCTTGAGCTTGGTGATGTTCTCTTTGAGTGCTTCTAAGAAGACCACATAGTCAGGCTCTGGAAGGATAGTTCCAGGGAACAGATCACCAATGATGCCTTCAAACAGAGGCACATCCTGTACATCAAACAAAGAAAAGTGATGATTACTCCCATTTGATAGAATAACAAACTAGATGGAACTTTGACTGCGCGCAGTCGAAAATGATGCCTCCACCATAGAGCAATTTTACAAACCAAAACAGAAACAATTTTTAAAATTCAAGTTTTAAAATTCAAGTTTTATTTTAATCCATCTGTTGGTTTAAATGATAATGCATGCACAAGCTATTCATAGGCATACATAATGAGCCATGTGACCTTTGACCTTCGACCTGGTGACCTCAAAATCTAATCAGTTTATTGGCTCTGCAAGATACATACATGACTTGAGTTTGATAGTAATCTGTCTATTGGTTCTCATGGTAATGTGATCACAAGCCATTTGTGGATACATAAAGAGCCCTGTGACCTTTGACCTTGTGACCCCAAATCTAATCAGTTCATTGGCTGTGTAAGATACATACATGATTTAGGTTTGGCAGGAATCCATCAATCAGTTCTAGAGATAACGCGATCACGAGCCATTTTTGCATACATAATGAGCCCTGTGACCTTTGACCTTGGATCTCGTGACCCCAAAATCTATTCAGTTTATTGGCTCTGCGAGATACATACATGACCTAAGTTTGGCGGGAATCAATAAATCGGTTCTTGAGATAACGCGATCACAAGAACGGGACGTACGGACGGACGGACAACCTGAAAACATAATGCCTCCGGCTACTTTGTAGCGGAGGCATAAAACCATGATGACCGTTACTAATAGTAATTCTGTACACATATTTATACTACCACAAAGTATTGGCACAAGAATATCTTTTTAAAGTGTACCAACTAACCCCCCCCCCCCCCAAAAAAAAAAAAAAAAAAAGGAAAAAAAAAAGAAAAAGAAGGTGTACAGCTAGAATGTATAAACTCAACTTCTGTGGATTGCAATGTACTGAACTGTAATTGTTGTTAGGCTTTACACCATCTTCTGCATGATATCTGATAATATACAAGCATTCTTAGCACTCTGATAAAACTGAAGATAAATCAAATCAACCGAATTGGACTGAAAATCAGGGGCCCGTTTCACAAAGCCTTTTTTCAATGACAAATGACAAAATCAGTGTCAAATGTGCTGATAACCAATCAGAAGCAAGGATTTCAGTAGATTATAACAAAAACTGTCATTTGTCACTGATGACAAGTTTTGTGAAACGCCCCCCTGAAATGAGATGGTCATACCTGTGCTAAGAACTTTGGTAGATTGACATCCTTGATGGCCCTCAAGACCAGCACGCTCTCATCTTCATCAGAGTACTTGAGCTTCAGGTTTCCTGCAGCGGTCAGTACGGACTTGACCGCACGCATCCCGTAGTCGTAGTGATGCTGCGAGGAGAGAAGCTCGGAGCATAGACGATAGGTGGCAACGATCTTTCCTGCCAAGCTACGAGCATCCACAAAACCCATGGAGTAGAGAGAGATCTCGCCGATCAGGGCGTAGTCGGGCACCATCATAGCAACAGTTCGGAACAGAACCTATATTGCATTTAAAAAAACATAAATATTACACTACAGGAAATAGCACTTATTTAATACATACTATATGAAAACGTAGATGGACCATCAAGATATACTAGAGATTCTCATACAAGAGGGATTATTTTGCTGACAAGTGTTAGCAGAATGATAGAAATATATATTTTACAAGTAAAAAATGAGAATGCCACATGAACCAACCACACAATCAAAGTACATAAATAAAATCATTGTTCAACCAGGATATTGGTCAAAATGTTTATTTTCATCTCATGACTTTAGATTCATTAGCCATATTGGTTTATTTTGATCTGGTTGGTCTTGTAGAATAGGACCTACCTTCAAGTTATCAGGAAGATCTGACCGACCAGCGTAGCCAGGGTTCATGGTGATGAACATAGTACAAGTGGGGTTAAGGGTCAACTCTGTCCCCTCAAACATGAACTTCTTCTGGAAGGTCTGGATGGCACGTTGGATGCTCTGGATCTGCTGAGCTACCACAGACAACACCTCCAGCTCAATACGATTGAACTCATCAAAGCAAGCCCAGGCACCGGCTTGGGCTAGACCCTTGAAGAACTTGCCCATGGCCTTGTAGTCCAGACCATCCGAGCAGTTGAACACCACACACTGGTTTCAAGAATAAAGTGATGAAAACAATCACAATATATAATTTTTTGTAAAAGGCATATCAAGAGATCATGAAACATGGTCTCTATTCCCCTTCTGGAAATGATCAATCTGACTTTAAGGTCATACTGCTGTTATCAGTGCAATGTACAGTGCAATAATAATCCTACTTGGTACCAGGAGGCAGAGCTGCCAACATTTGGAAGTACAAATTAGTACTCTGCACCTCCAAAATTAATACTCAGCACCTCCAAAATTAGTATTTTACCATCAAAATTAGTATTTTTCAAGCAGCCTTCCTTTCACCTATTAAAAACCTATTGATGTCGTAACGCAAGGCAAATGCATACCATAAAGACCATATTTGTGCTGTAATTAGTTTTTTAAAACATATTCAATTGTACATGTTGGCCGGGCAAGTAAAATTTCAGAAAAATGTGATACTGTTACGTACAGTCAATAAAAATGTTTGTTCTTTCATTAAAATTTTAAAAGAAAATTGTAAAAATCAAAGTTTTTGTTGGGATTGAGGGGGTTTACTTGTACATGTTTCTATGCGATTCCGGGGTTTTTATGGGTTTAAAAAAAATTTATGTTTTTTTTTTGTTTGAAAAAGTGTATTTTAAAAGGTGATATCGTATTATCATATTCCACTCTTATTATCGTACTAAAAACGATTAAATCGTACTGGTTGGCACCTCTGAGGAGGGGTGTGTATCAAACTTTTATTCATGTTTATGAAATTTGTGATGCAGTCATGCACAATCACATTTGTTTCTCATAAAGTTTGAAATGCTGCCTCAAAATAACAAAAATGTATGGGTTCATTTCAAATCAGGAGAAAGACAAATAAAGGTTAGACTTATTCAGAAGAATGATATCAGCTGAGAATACATTCAAACCATTAGGTTTAGAGACGAACAAAACAATATTTCGCTATGTTACAGACCAATCTTTTTCTTCTTCTACGGAACATGTCAACAGACTTGTTAATTAGTCCATGTGGAGACATGGGCAAGGGTCACATGATCATGGACTGAATTGATCTTTCTTTGATATATTTCAACGTTTGGGATTTAAAAGTGTCAGAGGATTCGATATTGATGATATGTTCACATGAACTTCACAGAGTTTCACGTAACATTTATCCTGACAAGTATCATACTAACCTGTTTAGCGACAGCTTTGGCCAAATCCTTACTGGTCTCTGTCTTTCCCGTACCGGCTGGACCCTCAGGGGCTCCTCCAAGATTCAGCTTCAGGGCACCCATCAAGGTCCTGGTCAACAACAACAAACACAGAGCAATTCAACGAGGCATGTCGTAGAACATCAGCCGCCTGCAAGAATGCTGTAACTGCCATTAAAGCCACACTGCACTACTTAAGCTACTAGCGCCCTCTATAGAGCAGACAATGCCTAATCGGTAACCATTGGTCCCCCATATGGTCCCCTTTTTCTAATATTTATTGAGAGCTGATTTGATGAGATAACCACCTGTCACTGCATCATGCAGAGAGGTCTAATCCCTCCTGAACAACCTAGTGCAGATAAGCTTTAACAATACATAGGCCTTCTTGTAGACAGCCAGTGAAACACTACCTAACTTTCATTTGCCAAATAAATGTCAATTAAAGCATATAAGTGTTGTGTGGGAGGGATAGGGTATCTTGTGTGATAACGCTAAGGCATTTTGTTGTACATATTGACCTCTTAAATATATCGCAAAGTGCAAAAGCAGTTCAGCTGATTGACATAGAATGTATTCTATTCTGCAGAGTCACTGAATCAGTCTCACAAATTCCTTCACTGTATTTGTAAATATCATCTAAAATTACATTTCCGTAAACCACATTGATATCATGTCTATCCAAACATGAGTCGAAACATAAACACTAGAGTAATATGAGTAGGCCATTATGCACTGATGTTTACAATGAAAGCGAGACACAAATATACGCTGCATAGAACCATTGAATGGGGTGATTATAAAGATAATTGAGAAGATGATTCGAGAGTAATTATTCTGTCAAGTGTTCGGTATCAAAGAGAGATTGAACTCTGATCTTACTAAAACACAAACTCAAGTTACATAGAAACTTCTGGACAAGAGGATACAAAGAGGTGATAATACTGGTACAGTGAAATCTGTGTATAAAGAATGTTCAATGGAGTTAAGAAAAGTGGTCTTTATCTACGTGTAGTCTGAATGTGCAGGTTCTATACAAACTTTCTAATGGTACTTAACATAGCGATGATTATGCCATAAGAGAGATATTATCAATCAAACTTGAGTTCCAAAAACTTTTGTTGAGGGGCTCATTTAAAGGCATAAAGTCTTTCTATACAGGTGGCCCATAAAGCGAGTCTGACAGCTAGTACTAACCTGTAACACCGATCAGTGAGCGGAGTGATAACCAGACGTCCTGAGTTACCCAGGTACTCGTATCCATAGGGTAATTCTGTAGTGATCATCTGTACGTTGATGGTTTCACCGTTGAAGTAGTACCTCAGCTGACTGAGCCAGTTGAAGTCATTCACACTCTGTACACCCATCTCATCAAAGCTCTGTACCAAGTCACGGGCTACGATGGGATGGAGAAGAGATATCATTTAGTAAATAACATACCGCACATTGCATCATGTTTTCTTTTGGTGATGATTTCTTTTTCATTCACAAAGTCATATCTCTATTGGGAAAATTAAAATTTGGTAGTGCACTTCATAATGCTATATGATTCTTTAAAGTGAATGCATTTAGTGTCACACTCCTACTGAATGGGTGCAAGATACCATCTGCAAGCCGGAAGGTCGTGGGAACAGTGAGCCCAATGCTGATTTAGTTACACATACATTTTATATGGGATTCAAAGAGATTTCAAAGATTTTAATGAAAATTTAAAAATCACCATCTTTCTTAAAGCTAAACTTTAGTACTGGTAATGCGATTGCATTGTGAAAGAAAAGGTGTGGAAAGGATCAGAAAAAGTTGATCATGTAGAATGTAAGTATTGGTGCGCACTGCAAGGTTCTAGAGTCATCAAAATCATAATAAATTTGACCGAGTTTTGGTAAAGTAACACGCACCGTACACAGAAAGCTATATATGGGACAACACGCATGTTGTCGGGGCTGGTACTACCTTGATTTCCTTGTCTTTCTATGCTCATTACTCAGCCAGTATACATTTTCTTCCAAAATTGTTTGGCACATGACATTTATTTGTAATCTTGAACATTCGGTGTAAGTTTCGTTTGATTCTGTGAGAATTCATTTTCTTTTTTTTACCAGTACTGGAGTTTCTCTTTAAGGCAGCATACCATTTCAAATGGCAAAGGCATTGTCAAGGCTTTAGGTAGAGGAATGTTGGAGCAATGGAAATCACATAATCATATAAAACTTTAATCATTGATAAAACTCTGCTGCAAGTCATATGTGGAAAGAATACACTGACATACAACTAAAGAGATATGATTGTATTATTGAATTAAAAACCAACTATACAGGTTATAAGATCATTAACCAAAACTTGCAGACAATTATCTGACTTACCGTGAACATCAATGACAGTGAGAGCCCCTAGGGTGGTTCTGTGTCCCTTCTCTAACTTGCCTCTCACAAGATCTACAATCTCCTTCAAATACACATTGCTCAGCTCTGTGTATTTCTGTTCAAACAAAACCAGATATAACAAAAAATTTACTTTCATTCATTTAGTCTTCAATCACTAAAATATTGAGTGACAGAAAAAAGCATTTGGAGCCAATTGGTTTGCAACTTTAGGGCCCAAATTCACAAAGGAGATTTGTCTACAAACCTAGGTTTATGTGCATCATATGATGCGTTTTGACGCGTTTCAGACCAAGGTTTGTCTGAACCTTGGTCTGAAATCGCGTCATATGACGCACATAAACCTAGGTTTGTTGACATAACTCCTTTGTGAAATCGGGCCTTGGAGTCTAATAAAATGTAAAAACAAGCATATAAAATCCATAAGATATTACCATTTTTATGACGAATGCTGAAAAAAATCAATGTGGTATCATACTGATGAAGACAATTAAATATTTGGTGTAACAGTGAAGAAATGATTCTTCCAGAGACTCAACTGACTGATAGATAATGCTGACAAAACAATGAAATTCAGCATTCATATTTAAATGAAAGAAGTCTACCTATTCTACCTGTTCAGAAACTTGAGTGATATTTTAAAGAAGTGGACCATGTAACATGAAGCTTAGCAATGGAACATACAATTTATTTTTATGATTAAACATTTGATTGCAAAAATCCATTATATGTGGCCCTGATGTTAAGGTCTCATCTCTGTTTGGTATAGAACATCATTCCTTTCTTTCTTTCATTCTACCTCTACCCCATACCTGCCAACATTTGAAAATGAGAATTAAGAATTTCTAGCACGGTATGTCTTCGAAAATACCCTTAACAGGCGTTCGCACACGCAGCGGCAGTGTAACTGGCAATACGCGGTAAATCTGTGCAAAAGAGCGAATACAAATTCACTGCTCAATCATGCAGCCCTTCAACACATGCAATACGTGAACTCTCACATCGCAGCATATGATAAAACAAGCTTAAAGGTAATACAAAGTTTTGGTATGGGGTCATGAATTTGGTTCAAATGAAAATATTGGAAGCATATGCGATCCTACAATATTCAGTGATCGTTGTCGCAGTTGAAATCGAGTCTAAAGTTATGAAATTGTAAATAATAAACTCTTTATATTGTATAGCTCCCTCTAAAGGTCAAGATATTAGTTAAGTCAAGAACAATGTTTGTTGACTAAAATCGACCGACTATTATTCCCGTTTGGTAAATATATATCACAACTACACATTCTGAGATTTTCATGGTCGCAGCTACCTTTGTGCGGCCGTAGGCGCTATTTCGAATTTATCAAAATTTACCGGGAGCACCGGTAAATTTTTATATTAAATTTTTCTCGAAAGCTGAAGTGTTTTAGGGGCTAAATTTTCTAGTGCTTATAATACATCCACAGGGGCATCCAAATATATGAAAATTGTAAAGAATCACTATCCACCCAATTTTCAAATTTGCCCAAAACTTTGTATTACCTTTAATTTGGCTTAAGCAACACACACACACACAAAAAAAAAAAATTAATTTTTTTTTTTTTTTAAATTAAAAAAAAATAAAAAAATCCCGGATTTTGTATTGGGGTCCTAAAAATCCAGAAAAACAGGATATTCTGGATTATTTGGGAGAGTTGGCAGGTATGCTACCCCTCTCTACACTAATTCTTTGCTCACTAACCTTGAGTCCACCTGGTTCCTTGATAGCCTTGGCTACCTCATCAGTCCAGAAGGTCTGAGAGACACAGATGACCACCTGACCAGGCCATTCCAGGACCCACTTGTTCCTTGGGTTTGAGGCGTACGCTGCCACGCCGTCCTTGCATACCTTGGTGACGCTGGACATCATCGTCTCTTCAACCTGTAACAACCACTTCTCTACCATACCCTTTGTAAGGAGAAATAATTACAATGACTTATTTTCAACTTTAGAAAAAATATTCATGAACAAATGTCCTTTGGCAAGACATTGATCTACATTTGCCACACTCAACCCAGGTGATGTAAATCGGTACCTGGCAGGAATTAATTCCTTGAAATGCTAGAGCGCCGTAATGGCAGGCGTGCTAAAGCCAGGGTAATGATCAGGAGCGCCAGGAGTGTCAAGTCTGACAGACATGAGCGCTAACAAGAACCCATTATTATTATTATAAGAGTGAAGTTTCCTAATAAATAAAAGTACAATCAAGCAAGTCCTTGACAGATATCACCGTGGGAGCAAAAATTAACTCAAATATAGAACAACAACAAATCATTTTGTTAAAGGTATGATCTAACTCATACACGTGTAATCAATACCAAGGCTAAAGTAAACAATATGCTTCAAACACTTATTAAACAATTAATATACCTATCGTCAAGGATGAGGAAGTATACTTGATTTGTACAAGTGCATCTTCACATAGAATGGAATGGTATGAATACATACATGATGACTGGACATTTAATTAATTTTATTAATTGGTTTACCTGAGAGCCAAGAAAGTACACTGAACCCTGACTTGGTCACAAAACAGAGTCACTTCATTCACAACTTCATCACTCCATTAATTGAGCCATACACCTCCTTCCTTCTTTGTATGAAACACAATTTTGGAACTCACCCTGGCCTTAGCTGGGTAGACTTTCTGCGAGAAAGGAACCATTTCTTTCTCCGCGCTGATCATCCCTACAATCTCCTGCTGTTCAGTGAACTCCAAGGTAGAGATACCTTCAAAGCACTTCTTGAGATGCGGCTGAACACGCAGAGGGTCTTTGGTCTCGGACAAGATCTCAAGCAGTTCATCGTTGGACAAGAAGAACAACCTGTTTGAATATATCGTATACTGTCAAACCTGTCTATAGCGACCGCCCAAGGCAGCCACAAAATTGGTCTTTGAAGACAGGTGGTCTTTGTAGACAGGTTCCTTTAGTACATGTTTCAATGAGAAACCATTTTCAACGGAAATCAAAACATGTGGTCTTTGTAGACAGGTGGTCACTAAACCAGGTTTTACTGTATATATCTATCTTTAGAACCAAGCAACGGGCAACGGGCATGTACAACTTTACACAATGCAAAACACTGTCTGAAAATCAGACGTACTCTAGCCTTAAATCCAGCAAAAGTCCAAAGTATTGTATGCAGTGGTGTCATTTGTATCCACGACTACAATCTCTGAGTTGCATCCCTTACAATTACAGCATCATGTAAGTATGGAATGACCACAACCACCACTAGCTTGTATAACACTCTGGCAATGGAAATGACCGGATAGGACTACATACATGAATTCGACAAAAATACTGAAAAATACCAAATGCTGTAGCTACCTTGGGAAGTAGAGTCGTTTCTTCTCCAGGTAGTCATTGAGACCCTTCTGAATCTCCTCCAGGAGAATGTTAGACTCCTGTAGTCTTCCCAACATGTTGGGTTGACCTGTACACACCAAGGCTTTGTTGTCTTTCACCTATGCATCACAACAAACAAAAAAAGAGAATATTAATCAATCAAAGCATGCCTTAAAACATCAACTGAAAAAAAGAGAAAAGTAAAGATATCTTGTTGCAATGGCAGAAGGGTGTGAATTAACTAACGTCCTTTTCTAAAAACATGCAATTTAAAAGTTCTGACCTTTCTTATACTATATTTCCTCAACATATTTCAGGCCATACATTATCTAAATCCTTTTATTCCACATTTTAATACATAACTGAAAATTGGATCCCATTCAAATTCAGCCCTTATTCGCTCTTGAATGGTTCTTGTTTTGTAATCAACGTAAGTAACATTTATGAAATCTAACTTGATGTAGCAAATATGGAAAGATGATGATGATGATCCAATCCAGGTATTATAAAACGCCAGTATCGATCTAGTTGCCTAATCAAGATTCAAGATTTAAGATTCAAGATTATTTATTGGTCCATGCATGCAAACATTGCATAGAAACATTACATCATCATCATCAAAGGATGATGATGATGATGATGATGATGATATTAGTAAAGCAATGTAAGAGGAGAAATCTATTTTTAAGTGTTAAGCCCCAGGACTTACAGCTTCTGTCATGATGTCCCTCCAGTAGCTATCGACGATGCCAAACTTGCGACCCTCTTCAGGCATCTGGGCGATGATGTCTTCGGAGCTGAAGATGGGTTCTAGGTAGAGCCAGGTGGCTTGGCACTTGAGCCAGGAATCAAGGATGTCCTGCATGGTCACCAACTTCTCTTCCCATTCCTACAAAGAAAGAATCACATAATGGATAATTACCTCACAAGTGGATCAGGGCCCTGTTTCATCAAACTTGATATCAATAACAAGTTACAAGCTACTGTTATAAGCTACTGAAATCCTTGCTTCTGATTGGTTGTCAACAGATTTGTCACTGATTTTTGTCATTTGTGATTGAAAAAAGGCTTTGTGAAACGGGTCCCTGGTCAGTCCAACATGAATGACATCATGGGAAAACAGAAGGGTCTGATGGTAATTGCTACATAAGATAGTTCTCTTTAGAGATACAGGTAGGAAACATGAAATCTGACATAAAGTCAAAATGTTTTCTAGCAGTATAAAGACATTTAACTACTACCCAGTGAAGACTGAGCATCCTATGAGAAAAGAAAATCATATCAAATTAATTTCAAAATGAAACCATCTCTGATCCTATAATGTATTTCAAATATCTTTCAAAAACAAATCCAGGATATCAGTAAATAAAAAAATTAAATACTCTGGTAAGCAGGGAATGCAGGAAGGCAGAGAGAGAGAGAAAGAGGGAGAAAGAGAGAGAGAGAGAGAGAAGAGGGAAAGAAAAGAGAAAGAAAAATGAGGGAAGGACAAGAAGAAAAAATACAAATGGGGGGAAGGTGGAGAGAAAGAAATATGAATATAGAAAAGGAGTATAAAGGAAGGCAAGATAAAAAGGAAGACAGAAAGAGAATGTCTACTGAACATTGGAAGATAGAAGATGTTTTACCTTGACTTCATTCTCGAATGGTTTGACAAAGGGAGATCCCCTCATGGTCTGGACCTTGACAATATGATCATCAAGGAGAAGCTGGATGTCATCAATACTTGATAAGATGGATACCCCCTGCATCAGAAAAAACATAGATCAGAGAAAATGGTTGGGATACATTCATGGCTGCTGCCATAACACTGGCTGAAATCATATACATGTTTCTCTCAGACTAGCATTCAATACATTAAATTGAATTAGATTAATTGAATTAGAGCATCATTTCACAAACTCATCCTAATAACAAGTTTACCGACATCCCATTGGAATATGTGTTAATTACAACACACAATGGGATGTTGGTGAACTTATACTTATGACGGTTTTATGAAACACTGCCCAAGTTTCCACAGTGAATTAATACACTGGGCATCTGGTCTAAAATACATAGAGTTTGTATGCATGAGCCCCCTATTAAATTTGGGGGAGTGGGGTTGACAATTATAATTTTGGGGCCTATATGAACCATGTGACTGTTAGCTGTCAAGCCTCGCTTGAATCATAAGCATTCAAACCAAACTATGTCATTCATCTTGATTCGAATATCTATACTATAACCATTCCAAGTACTTGGTTTTAAGTCGTAAAATGATATTAGCCATCAAGGCTTGTAACTCTCTTTTCCCCTTTTCTATTAAAGCCCATCCGTACTAGTTTGGCTAGGAGGGATTAGACCACTCAGGAAGGTCACTGACAGGTGGCTATCTCATCAACTCAGCTCTCAATTAACATAAGAAAAAGAGGATCATGAGGGACCAATGGTCACTGATTAGGCATTGTTTTCTATATAGAGGGAGCAAGTAGCTACAAGTAGTACAATGGGCCTTTAATAAAAAAAAATGCAATTAACACAAGACATGCCATACCAAGCCCTTTTTAATGCACTGTCACGATCTGAATGAAAGCAAAAGAAAACAATTCAAAGAAAAGAAGTGAAGCGTTATGAAATTGAAACAGCTTTCAAGTTACACTTGACACTCCAGACTGTACTTTTGTCATATGTATGAATGAGACTTCACATCATTGTACTTACAGTGTCTCTGTATGGTAAGAATTCAAATGCGATATCTTGCCATTCAAACTTCATCTTCTCCATGGCCTTCTCAAGGGAGTACTCCTTGCTGGCAGCTGCTCCAACTTCTTCAAGTCTAGATGAAAGCGAAAATACAACAAATTGGTTTACATTATTCCAAGTAAATCATTCTGAGAAAAGAAGTGAGTCAACACTTCTTAAATCAGGTTTATTAGAAAATGATTGTTACAAAAAGGTGTGAGAACACATATTTCAATTACAGAAAATACAACAAATTTAGTATGATATAGCCGTTTGAATTATTTCATTCTGAGAAAAGAAGTGAAAGAAATTGAAGCATGTCTGAAAAGCACTTTGGGACATTATGAATGCTTGAAGTTTCATATAAAACCAGATTGTATTATCACAGAATGTGGAGCAACAGGGTATAAACTGCTGAAAAGGATGGCTCAAGACCGAGGAACTTGGAGAGACACTTGATATAGATTGGGTCCCTGAACCTGTCATAAACTGACAGATCACTATCGATGATGATGATTATCACCATCATTATATCACGCTCAAAAAAAAAATCCACAATCCATATCTGGCACTTTTGATCTACTTCTAACACTTCTTAATCAGATTTATTAGAAAACGATTGTTACAAAAAGGTATGAGAATATATTACAGAATCATAATGCATGATTGTATGATGGTGTATACCATTCAATGTATTAGTAGTAACAAGCTGGGTAGAAATTTTCCTACACTCATATCACCATCATCAAACTGTTCCATGGTAGAGTTTAAATTCAATCTCTCACCATCATATCAAGTTGACTAACTTCATGTTTTCAATCTTTTTTACATAACAAGTAGAAATGCACCAAAACTTTTCAAAAGCAATTACATTTCATTACCCGAACAAATCCAAGTTAAAACCCTTAAATTCTGGAGAAATGTACATCTATAGGTTAGTATTTTGGCAAATGTAAGAACTGCACTGTATGAATATTTTTGGACACAGCTTTTCTTTTCAAAGATGTATAAGAACTTACTGGTCACTCCATTTTGTTAGGCCAAGTTCCAGCATCTGAAGCAGGGATGTATCATTCTTAGGCTGGAGCTCAAAGCCAACAATGTCACTCATCTGTAAAATAAGATTAAAAATTCAAATTATGAGGTATTAAACATATAAATATGAAATGTATATGTGATTGGAAATTATTATGATCAACTAACAAACTCTACAGTATATCACTCAATATTAAGGCATGTTACATGAATTATAAAGGATCTTTTACAATATCTTTTACTTTTACCATACCTTAGCCTGGAAATAGTACTGTAAAGAGGCAGGCCTATATTTTAATTGTGTAACTTGTCTCATTTTGATATCATATAAGTAATCTCTACCAACAGAAGAATGACAAATATTGGACTAAGAATAACCCAACATTTAAGTCTGAACCCCCAAATTTTGAAAGTTTTACATAATGCAATTGCACCCAGGCTGTCAAAAGTACAATCTACACCCCTTCCAAAAAAGCTAGTGTGAAGCCGTCATTAACCGGTTTTGAATTTCCCAAAGAAAGACGAGCATTTATCTGTTATAAACTTGGAGATTTTTAGAAACCTATGACACGGCAATGAGAGGGTTAATTAGAAAGTGAAAGTGAATCTCGCTCAACAAGCCTGGCTTTTCTGAGAATCTCTTTTTTCCCCTCTCAGTTAAATCAAGCAATATAAAATATTTTGTCTTATTCTCAAACTTAAATGTACTCTGTAAACTTATTTGATTACGAACATACATGTATTTGTCAGTATTTTGTTACTTGTATAATTCATTTGTTCTATTTTATATTGTATTACTGTATGGTTTATATATGTCATTTAATTTGTAGATATTTGAGTGGAAAATAAATAAATAAAATTAAATCAAATCAAATCAAATCAAATCAAATCAAATCAAATCGACTCACCCTAGTCCAGTGGCGACCCCTGATACCGGGGTTACAGATGATACCCAGAAGAGGAAGATGCGCTTTGAACTTGTCAATCTTTCCTTTGACATTGTTGGATATCCTCTGCGGACCAGGCTGATCTGAGAAGCTCCTAGAGAGCTTGTACATGGTACGGAACATGGAGTCCACTTCCTCCGTTACCACCTCAGCATTCAGCTCCAAGAATGGACCTGTGCATGTCAAAAAGTTATGATAATATATATTTGTCTTGTTTTACCCAGCGTAGCCTCATCAGTATTCATACTGTTCTCCCTGAGGTCCCTGCAATCATATTATTACCCCGGTCATCAGATTCAGGCTTACCCGCACACAATGTATGCATATTCTCCACTCCCTGGGGAGCATTCCATCCAGGCATCATTTTTACAAGCGCACACTTGCTAATCTAAGCACATTAGCTTTTGCATCCTACTGGATACCCATTTAACACCTGGGTGGAGAGTGGCAAATGTAGATCAATGTCTTGCCAAAGTACATTAGTGTCGCAGTGGGACTTGAACCGCGGACCTTGTGATCCACAGTTCGGTGACATATCCACTCGGCCACGACACCTAACTAGTTAGCCCTTTGCTTTGGCAAGATCCAGTTCGATATGAGCATACAGCTTGGGCTAAAATGGGCTCATTATAGGCCTGATCACATATGATATGATGCAACGTTTTGTTTTGTTTGTGTTCTTTTTGTGTGTACTAAATGAATGGCAAGTGGGGATGAAAGGTAGCTGGGTACAACAAATGTCCTTTGTGCACTCACTTATCTCTGTGTTATGAGATACAAAAACGTGAAGTACAGTATGCTGTAACACGATTAAAAAAGTTCTGTTCACAGCAGCAGCAGTTTAACATATGGTAGTGTATGTGAAGGAGTCTTACGGACATTGATGAAATATCACAGAATGTTATTCAGAGTAATACTTGATATGATATGATTTTCACTAATAATGTTAAGCTATGAGTGCTTCAACACATTAATCACGTCCTACACGTCTTTGAGTCATTGTTTTTTTGCATTCCATACTGTTTACCATTGGCTGACACTGTGTAGGTGACTGACACCATGCTATAGAATGTGAAATTGAAACTGAACCACACCTAATGGGTGTACTCTCTATTCAATTGAATTTCCTGAGAGATTGCCAGAATATCGATTAACAACTTTCTCTTTAAGAAACTATTTATACTAATGAGTTTTCATATCAGTATGGGTACGTGTTTACCACAAACTTTCAACCTCATTTGAGCCACTCCAAGGTTGCTCTATCCTTTCACTTTCATAAATCTTTTTGAATCTTATTGAAATTTGGATCAAAAGCTTGTTACCAGATTTATAACAACAAAAATCCCATCACGTAATTCTTTTTTTAGTCAATCAGAAGCATTCTCAAGTAGAAGGTGCTTGTGCATAGGTTGAATATATGTGATAAAATAAAGAGGAAGATAGAAATAGGGATCAAGATAGGAAAATAATTGATACAAAAGACCTATATCTGCAGAAAATATGGAAAAGGAATAGAGGAGAGACAGAACGTGCATTGAGGTAAATTTTGTTCATGAAATGTATGCTGAAGGCATTCCTGCTGAAGGCACATGCATGGATCAAATGACCGATTTGCCTCCTAATGCTTGAAAAAGTGCTCTAATTGTCTCCAATTTCTTTAAAAAAGAAACGTTTCCCTCACTTATGATGTTCCCACCTGTATAGTGCCTAATTTTGTCTTTAGAATCACTTTTGTTCCCAGCTTTTCATGGGTTGCAAATGGCTGATACATGCCTTTAATGCTGAACATCATACCCTGGTATTTTCGATTATTTAAACCTCATGTCTGTGAATTAACTCACCATTGAGCCACTCCTCATACTTGGTGTGAAAGTTGAGGGCGGTGTTCCAGAGGCTGTCGTAGGGCTGCTTGTTGACAAACATCTGCTGCAGCTGTGGGAACTGGCTGGGCTGCCACTCCAGGAGCTCCTCCTCCACATTCAGACCCTCCAGCTCATCCCGAGCCGCGTCCAGCTGCTGCTGGATCTCAGACAGCTTGTCCACATTGGTCTTCATCTCATCCAGGCTCAGCATCTATAGGACAAAAGTCACACAGGTCAAAGGTCATTCATATGCGTGATCAATGACAGGGATCATGCCATCAAGGGTAGTCTGGTGATATCTGACCATGAAACCACAGATTCTATATGGAATGGAATTATGAAGTGCTTCATCCAAACTTAGCATCTATAGGACAAAGTTCACACAGGTCAAAGGTCATTCATATGTGTGATCAATGACACTAAAGAGATCATGCCATCTAGGGTAGTCTGGTGATATCTGACCATGAAACCACAGTTTCTATATGGAATGGGATTGTGAAGTGCTTCCTTGTTTCACTAATATTGAATCGTGTTATACAATCCCTCCTTAATTTTTCACATAATCTAAAGCAGGAAATCAATATTTGGGTCAGGTCAATAGGGTGAAACCACCATCTTGTTTTTAATTTAGACAAGATGTGTACAGCCTCATCATACATATGTTTGAACAGAGGTAAATGTAATCTCCAAAATTATACACCTGAGCAGTTTATATACCTGAACACTGATCCACTCATGGTATGAATCAGTTCCGTGTTCAAAAGCATACATAGAGTGAAAACAATAACTGAGTCCCAACAAATGATGAACAGCATGATTTCTCAATGACCATGCACATATCAAGAATGGTTGCGTTCATCTCAAATGAAAGCATATAGCCTTGCTTTCACTTAAAACATGAGCCATGATTTTTTCCCAAAATGAAAGTAGGTAGAGCCAAGTTCCATACTTTGCAAGTCAGTCTTTTCTCAAAATGGAAGGGCATCAAAGTAATGTTTTACATATAAACTTTGAGATGCGAAATAGCCTGCCGAGAACCAGAATGTTATACACATGTACTGCAATGCTCTAACAGAGTTCAATTAAGCACTTCTCATTCTCAACAGGTGGGATGACTTTTGACATACAGAAAGGTTAGTCTCAACGTTACATCCGTCAATATGTACACAATATATCTCGGTTGTGCGGCTAGAGGGACAATTGTCAGAGATCTCTTTGAGGGGTCAGTGAGAAAAAATGTTATATGTGTCAGTGAGCACTTGGGCCTTAAGGAGTTAAGTCTATGTTTCACTAGCCATTGACTTTAATGGGGTGTTGGGTGGAGTTAAGTCTTTGTGTTTCCTGGAAAGCCCACATTTTTTCTGAAATTTTTTATATCAAATACTCATTTTGGCAAAATATGGAGTTACGTCTTTGTGTCACTGAACCCTCTTCTTTATTTTTACTGGTAATGTTTAGGCTTTCCACTGTGTGAAAGCTAAATATATCATAGACGCAACTTTTGAAGGAAGGTAAAATGAAGCTGAAAGAAACTCCACCCATTTTGAAGTTCATCAATATTTATCACATTTCATACTTCCTTGACATTTCAAAGCTTTGAGACACAATTTAAATGCGTTTCAACTTTCAAAGAGACATGTAATTGCTATGTATAGTCTCTAATAATATTGAAGGAATTAGTCATACATTTAATGAATTTGAGATGAACAACAAACCACTACAGGTACTAAGGGAAGGGATCATATAACTTTCTTTGACTTCCTTAAAAAACAATGCTTTTCAGGAAATGTGATAGGGTGAGATATTGTTTCTTTATGAAAACCAAGGGTTCCATTTTCAACCTTAAGTAGGTATATTTGCATATATTTGATAAATGAATTGATCGCAAATAATTTCATGTTAAGATTTAAACAGTCAGCACACTATCCCATCAAAAACAATTCAGTTATGTAATTTAAGACAATTTCTCAAGTATAAAAATACAAAGTTGTAATGAGAGATTAAATGATAGGATAAATATACAAGAGAGGCTACATCTAATTGCTTCATAACCTACTGACTTCATTTTACTTGCAGATCTACATCATTTTCCTTGAATTTGACCAAGTAATACTTGTTTTGAAATATGCACACACCCATACATACATATATTACTTTCTTTTAAAAAAAGATTGATATGTATTTATCCAACACATGTAATGTGTTTACTTTGCTCATAGAGAGCATGTTTCTATATCCTCATCCTAGATACAAATGAATGGACATGATATTGCACATTCACTCCCAAACATGTAGCAATCATTATAGTCCATCAGACAACCTTGCATCTTGACGCTACTGCATTCTGATCAATTCTAATATATAATATTTATGATTCATAACCCCCTTCTCTCTTCAATATTTTTAAATTCTTAAATTGCATTTGGTACAGAACTACAGTGTTTTAATTGATTATCAAATTTGGAACAAACTGCACTGGTGCAAGTTACCCTGGAATATTAGTAACTACACAAACTACATGTACATATGGCTATATCATGGGGTAGGGGTGAAACAAAGCGATGACTTGGTGATCGATGCTGCAAATAGGAAAAAGATATGTTCATGGTTAGAAGCTAATGAGGAAAAAAGCAAAAATGGCATCCGTGTTACAAGCAAGCAGAGTTAGTTGTGTGGATAAATAAACAATGACTGCACTACAAGACAAGCCAGCAGCATCCTAATAATGTCTGTTTGGAGCCAGAAGGGCGTTTACTCAAATACTTTACACAGAGTTAATGCCTTTCTGGCTCTGAACTGACGAAAAGACGTTGTTGTAGCTATCTCTGTAGATATAGCAAGCATGAAGCGGGTACACACAAGCTAACATATTGTCTGTTGAGAGCCAGAAGGATGTTAACTCATATCATTTTACAAAGAGTTAACTCCCTTCTGTCTCTCACAAGACGACATGGGTGCAGAATGTGATATGTGCTGCAGAAATACAACATGTAAAGCTGGGGCAGAAAAGCTCTTCACAATCTCATCATATCATGTTTTATACTCCTCGATTAAAAATGAAAGTAATGTCTCTCCTATTCTATTTGTAGATACACGTGTACACTTAATAAGGAGTTATTTGTATGTTATATCCAGGTACGCAATTTGTGCATCGCAGTGTCTCATTTGCTTTGGCATTAACCACATCAACATGAATAGATCAATTTCAAACAATATTATTCTTGTATCACTCAATCAAAATGTAAATGTATAATGGCAAACATATTAGTTTCTGCGGTGTTTACAGTTTCACTGAGGACAAGGAACAGGAGGAAATGTTTATTTCACACCTCAGCTACAAATGGGCTTCAAGATTCTACTGTATGCTAGAAAGAAAACATTCTGAGCGAATGATTCTTATCATGGAGTGTGTAAGGATAATTTCCACTTGCTCAAACTATATATCCTTGCCATTTCACCCCATGTGGCATTTGCACATAAATTTGCTCAAATATTAAGCTACATGCTTTCAATTTTTAAGGGAATCGTTCTTTCAATAGCATTTGTTACAAAATATCTTAATGAATTTTTCACTGATTTACGTCATGTCATTTTAAATGATATGACAATAATATCTTTATGCCACACAAATGCAATCCTTATTCTACTAAAGGATGTAAATCAATAATATTAAATCGTTGCCCATATGATTCAAAATTGTCCTTGAAGAATTAAATTGCATTCTTTGAGTGTAAATATTGAATATCAAATATCAATAAATGCTTGTTTCCCTTGAAATTTTTAGAGAATTGAGCAAAACATACACAGAAAAAATTACATTAACCATCAGTTTTTATAAAAAATCTGGCAATTTTGGGCAACCCTTCTTATCACAGGGGTGGAGTGAGGAGAGAAGAGGAGGGGAGGGTAGGGGGAGGCATTCATAATAACGCAAATTCATCAAAATTGTTAATTTTTTTAAAGCCAAACTGATTTCCCCTAACAATACTTCAACCCGAATCATAAAATTTCGCCATAAAATTCTTCCTTATATACCGGAATGTTTCCAAAACCTACAATCAACTGCTGTCCTAGTCATATTCACAGTAGAGTAGTAACTTGTGCTAAAATATGTTAGTAAAATACTACTTTAAAACCTCTTTGTCTATTAAAAGTACATAACAAATTAATTATAGGTATGTTCTTCAAAACAATGTTTGATATTAGATATCTCTAGTTTCTCTATGCTTTCATATGTTATTAAACTGGAACATTTCCTTATTTTCCTCAAATTAATTCTTTAGCTTTCACTGATCTTGATTTAAATAGCATTTACAGTAAATGGAATCTGTGCCACAGCAAATACACACACACACACACGCTCATCCAAAGATGGAAAACCCATATCAAATGTGTTACCTTTCCACGGAGCTAAAACGCATAGGTGGCACAAGTAAAAGAGAAGCAAAAATAAGATGAAACCAAAAGAAACAAAAAAAAACAGAGACCAAAATACATGCTGTGCATAGTGTATCATGTGGACAATACAGTCCAATTCATGCAATGAGAAGACTTACTGTTCACTACAAAGCTTTCTCTATATCTTAAATGAACTATTCACCAGGAGTATAGAATGATAGGTAAGAAACAATCACATTATGCTGATTGATTGAGAAAAAAAAAGGAAGAGGAAACAAAATATGCATGTGTTTTAGTGAACCTCAAATGCCCATGATCAAATGAATTCAACTGCATTAAGCGAAATCCAGTGCTTTAATTGACAAACCCAAAATAATCAGATCTAAAATAATAAGCTTGGAAAATTGGTCTTATTCAAACAAAGGTATTTCAAAACAGAAAATTAAATCAATCAAGTCCCTAATGATCTCCATGTGTACAGTTCAATGTATTTGCCAAACTGTTTCATGATAAAGAAAGATATACAATCTGATTTGAAAGATTGGCAGAAGATGACAATTACATCTGTAATCCATGTTTATAAGATCTTCATAGAAGAAATCTGTGTTTTTTTTAAATTTCAAAGCATCTATCTAATCATTGATTTTATTAATATTATCTGCTCACAATGTTGGAGTTTTTATGATGTTTAGAAATGATGTTCATCAGTGCTTCCACCAATACTAAATATATTGTATGATATACCACTCTACAGTGAAATATGATCAAAATGCATAGACAATGAAGAAGATCATCACGTCAAAGAAACGGGTACTTACTTCCTTCTTGCGGAACGAGTCTACGTCTCGGCCATACTCGTTGAGCTTCTCCTCGTACCTATGGACACGCTTCTTGAGCTCGTCTTCAGCCTGCTCCCGACGTGACATGAGACGGTTCCGACATACCTCAAAGATGGTCTGGATGTGGTCGGGCCAGTAGAACACTGTGCTGTTAGTCTTAATGTCCTCATCTGCGTCATCAAATAGAAAGAGAGTCAGGGGTACAGACTGTTTCAACAATCTGGATATTTCAAAATGACATCACCTTCCAGGCCTTCTTAATGATGTGCATTAATGACCACACTGTACTTTGTTCATGCTGAACTCATTCATTCCTGAATTCTCTAATTCCTTAGACATGAAACCTGAACCACCCTGTTCTAGTAGGCAGCGGGTTAACCTATGTCAGATATAAAATCGCAATGTGCCATGTTTGGAAACTGAATTGATGGGTATACACTTTTTTTTTCCTTCATTTCTTTTATTTTTTGAATTTCACAAAGTTACTGTCAGGATTTAATTCCTTGAAATGCTAGAGCGCCCTGCAGTGGCTGCCTTGCTAAAGCCAGGGTAATAATCGGGGCGACACCAGGAGCGTCACAACGTGACGGACATGTGCGCTATATAAGATGCCACCATTATTATGTTACAACAACTCTATTTTCGAGGTACACAAAAAAATGAAACAATCACACTGTTCAATTTTTTTTATTTTTTATATGACAACAGCAACTATTGGGATTACTGCACGAAACCAAATCCTTAAAAGGTGAATGCATTGCATATGGCTAAGATTTCACTTCTGTTGAACACCTTCAAGGTTTCCCTGCAAGATACACCACTGAATGCACTTTGTGTACCTAAAATATCCCTGGCAAGAGACTTACATGGCAGGAAAGCATAGTCTAGAAGGAACATGAGTCTGTTGGCAGCCTCATCCACCTCATCCTTGAGCTTGAAGACGGTGACCTCTGAGGAGGTCTTCAAGAATTCAGCAAGTGCTACGATCTCAGCTGTTGCGGTGGGTGTCTCACCAAGTCTCTCGGCAATCTCATCATACCGCCGGCAGATTCTGCAATCGTTCCAAAGGTAAAGTCATTTAGACATATATATCTTTTACTGTTTGATTATTTAATTGAAATAATAATAATCTGCTTTTACATAGCCCATTTATAAACACTATTACTCTTTTTCCACACATATTTTCACCCTGGTCATCAGATTAATTAGGCTATTGGTTATATATCGATGACAACATTATTCTAAAACTCAAAGGAATCATGTCGCAATGAAACCCATGGACGGTGTGAAATACTTAATCAAAACTGCATTGCAAATCCATTTAAAAGTAGAAGATGGGATGGAAATGATACAAAAGTAGAAGATGGGATGGAAATAATATAAAAGTAGAGGATGGAATATGAAAATACCTTCTGATATGTATGTTTCTACATTATCAGCAACTTTAATTTGATGGTGGTCTCAACTGTGACACATGATAACCACAATAATTCAATGAAACATAAAGAGCATGGCTTGGAAAAGCATTAATGACGACACGTTAGCTTTGCTATACCAATCGAATCGTTAATTGCTGAACATCTTGAATACCTACCCTTTGTTCAAGGTCCTGTTCTCGTCCACCTCAAAGGTAATGAGACGTTCCTTGAGTTTCTGCGCCCTGTCACACAGGTCCTTGTTGAGCATCTTGCAGTCCAGACAGAACATGCTGAGGGGGACAGTTATTCTCAGGGACGAGATTTCCTCCTTCAGCTGCTGGTAGCTTCCGATCTTCTTGATGAAACCTTGCAAGGAGTGTGTTTCCTTGAGGAATGCTGTCACATCCGCATCGGCTTTCTGATTCAGAAGGTCATGGTACTTCTTGTATTGGTTCAGGTACCTTACAAAATCAGAACATTATAACTAAGGTTAGCTCTTTTACTTTGTTTAGATAGAGCTGCCAACCTTGTGCGACCAAAAAAAGGCACCATGATGGCAAAAAAAGGAATTTCAAGCAAAAAAAAGGAATTCATTAAAACGTTACTTACAACCACACGCGACACGCTTCTAACGCAGAAATGTCCATTCCTCATTCAGTTTGTTTCCATATTAGGACCTATAGTTTATTTATCGGCGTTTCATTCTTTTGGAGAATATTTTTCTCTTCAAGTATGTTTCAACCTTAGTTTTTTATTGACTTTGTGATCAAAATAACATTTTAGGGCAGTTATTTGAGGTGCAGTATGTAAAAAAAAGGAAAAAAAAAAAAATTTGTGAGAAAAAAAAAACGTAATTTGGATGAAAAAACAGAATAATTCCGGGAAAAAACAGAATGATTGGCAGCTCTGCATGTATACCGATATCAAACACTGCTATTTCAGTTTTATATCTTCATAAATATTAGATTTAATGTATAAAAGCACTTTCCTCTAGAGGACAGAGATTAAAAGAGCTTTGAAAAGTTGTGCAGCTAACTTACCTTGTGGGACCAACTGTATTGTGCTTGAAGATCTCCATAGCTTTGTCAATGTAGTCTGTGACCAGTTGTTCTTCAAGCTTGATAGATCGAAGCAGGAGTTTCTGGTTGGCCATCTGAGGGAATATGGCACACTCCACCTAAATAAAAGACAAAGACAAATTTAGTTTGAATATACAGTTTACCATTTCAACATAAGAAACAATGGAATATAACATATCAAATCGTATCTGGACACCTATCTCCTGGAAATCCATCCCCCGGATAACCAACCATGGGATATCCACCCTCTAGGACAACTACCCCCTAGGACAACCACCCTCTAGGACGACTACCCCCCTAGGACAACAACCCCCCCCCCCCCGACAACTACCCTAGTACACTAGTGCCAGACTGAGACTCGTACCCACAATCTTTGCATCCCAGTCAAGTGCTCAAGCCTCTCTACTAAAACACCCATACAACTGTAGGAATCTTAGGAATTAGTGGTTGCCTTACCCTCTGTAGACCTTCTGCAGATGTGATGATCTCTGAGAAGCATCGGAGAATGATGTTACGGCATTCCACAAAGGGAGGATCAAAGACAATCCTTGGTTCTTCTACTCTAAGCTTGATGATCATGATCTGGGGCATCACGTATTGAAGCTCCTTGTATTCATCCTCAAAGTCATTGCCAGCCTGTGTAAAGATAGCACATCGGATTGGATGGTTTTATTCAGATGATATGAGATGCGTATTGCTAAGTGAAATCATTTGTTAATTATTTTATTAGCTTCATGCATTTGTACAACTGATCTTTAACAAGAATATAAAATATTGTCTGTAGAGAGCCAGAATGGCTTTAATTCTGTATGAATTCATATGTGGCTTTTAGTAAATGATACAGTATAGTTTTAAGATTAACCATGCTAGTGTAGACATAACATCAATACTATTATCCTCTTCTCTGCCCTCTCCATTTCCATTAAAATCATCATAACCATCACTTCAAACATTTTAATCATCTTCATCATCAGTTCCTCATTGAACATCACGGTACCTATCATCACTTTTGTTTAAGAATGAACAGGACCATCATCAACAGCATTACCATTCACCACTACTATCATAATCCTGTCATCATCATCGCCACCACCACCACCATCATCATCATCATCATCACCACCACCACCACCACCACCACCATCATCATCATAATCCTGTCATCACTACCATCATAATCCATCATCATCATCATCATCATCATCACCACCACCATCACACCACCAAGACCACCACCACCACCACCATCATCATCATCATCATCATCATCATCATCATCATCATCATCATAATCCTGTCATCGTCATTATCATCACCACCACCATCATCACTACCACCATCATCATCATCATTAGCATCAACAACTTCAACATCTTTATCACCATCATTATCATCAACACTCTCAAATCTACCTTGTGAACATTGAAGAACTCCAGGAAGTCATTGAGAGAGTTAATAACCATGGACCTGAGCTGGATAGACATGACAGCAGCCACGCAGGCAAAGAACTCCTGTACTCTTTGAGTGGAGTCGGTATCAGTGGATGGCACAAGGTGGGCCCAGAGATCCCTCTTGTTCATGAACATCTCAGCGCAAGTAGGTATCCACCTGGACAAAGAGATGTTTATTTCAACATATTGCAACTTATGTTTCATTCTTAGGCTCTCATACAATACATTACAGCTGAACTTTTAATCTAATGAATTATTTAGAAAATAAATACATGAACCAATTACCTTATACCTTTACACCAAAAAAAAAATCACTTCGGCCACAGTACAGTGGCCTTTATAGTTATATATGATAAGGCAAATAATCAACTTCAGTTGAATAATCTAGTTTAGAGTTAAATTTCATATGTTATGGGAATATGTGGCAAAAGCAGCTTGCATTTATAAGGAATACTGCTACAATTATTAGAATTCATGAAATGAAACTCAAATAGAACAAAATATTTCTCGGAAAGACAAATAAAGTATTATCCTACAGTACATGGTGGCCTTCATAGTTATATATGATAAGGCAAATAATCAAATTCAGTTTGAATAACAATTCATAGAATTCATGAAATGTAACTCAAATATAACAAATTTCTCAGAAAGAAAATAATCTACTATCCTACAGCTTTATATTTCCTTCTTGATAATCAAATGAATTTCTATGATAAAGCATTTCAAGAAACACATAATTTCCTTCTCAGTGAGAAAACTGCAGAATACCCAGGTCAGCACACAGATGAAAAGATCAAAATACACTTAAATTTCAGTGGTTGGGTAAGATTTCTTAACCATTTCATTGTCTAAAACGAAAGAGTCATAAACAAGCCTTTTCAATAAATTGAAAGTGAAACTTACGAGTTCTGCAGAACCTTTCGAGCATCTATGCAGTGTTGCTTGATCAATGATTCAAACTCTCCGGGCAAGAGAGGGAGCTCTGTGTTCATGAGATCGTTCAGACGAACAAACCTGGCTCCACAAAAGCTGCGGGGAAAATATTTGGGAGAGTGGAGAAGGTTAACAAGGATTTCCTACAATTTCCTAACATCTCCGCTTATATTCATCAAACTTAGTAATGTAAAAGAAAGACAAGACCTTCCCATTCATTATTTATTTTAACTATTTATTGTTTCTTGACAAAACCGTTTGTGTACTGATGTACATACATGTAGATGCTCATGTACTTTTCACACGTTACTGTAAATGTAATTTAATTATTTACATTGAACATATATGTTTAAAATGAGTAGGTTGCATGAGGGAGAATTGAAAGCTACATTACTCTTGCAGTCAAACACAATGTATAAGCCATTGCACTCAATGGAAAATATATGGTCTATTTTTCATTGATAAAATCAACTCATTGACTACAGAATTCTCATATACCCAATGTCTAATATAGGAACCATCTAGTCCTGGTAGGTTTTAGAATGTAAGTGGGCATTGATCAGATGTATACTAATTGACTGATACTAATCCCAAATGCTGAACCCCCCCCCCCCTCAAAAAAAAATACAAAAATACAAAATACAAAAAATACAACCAAAAAAATACAAATTACAAAACAAAACAAAACAAACGAACAAACATTGCAGGAAGGGGATCTTACCTATCATACCACAGGTTCTGCAGCTCTAACATGATGGAATTTGTGATGAAGAGATGTTGATTGTTGATCTCTTTGTGTGTGAGGTAAGGTTGATGCCAAGGCACCGGAGCTCTGATGACACGGTGAGGGAACGGGCGTGGTATCCAGGAAATGTGTAGACGTGTCTTCTCCTCTGGGTCATCAAGGATGTAATCGACTAGAGGGGTGGAGGAAGAGTGGGATCAAGATGGTCAATATGTGAATCTTAATTTGTTCTGTCCAGAACTATCAATACTACTGTCTCTCATACTAGTGTACTAGTTGGAGTTTTATCATAAAAGCTCTTTTGGATATAATTTCTCTTCCGTTCTTCTCACTAATTCACTAATTTTTCCTTTATCTAGTTAAAAAATGATTTTAAAAGAGAGATAGATCTGGAGATTGCTTGATGTGGTTGCCGACACTTTCCAGTGGCATATATATATATATATATATATATATATCATTTGTTAGGCACTTAAAAAAATATTCATCAATCATTAACAAGCTACATTTGAGTTGGAACCTAATCTTACATACAGTGTAGTATTCAGTTATAACAACCTGGCCTAATAAAGTATCAGGCGCCTATTCATTTACAAGTCTTCCAAAGAGGGCATGTGTCTTACTGATAGCTTTCCTCGAACTGAAATCATAGTCTTTGATGATCTCCTCCTGAATGCCTTCCCTCAGCCTGCCCAGATGCTGCTTCTCTAATAGATGACCAGGAATGTGCATGCATACATTGTCCATCATGTCGGCAGGGGGAGCAGCCACCATGTTCTCTTTGATTCCTTTGATGATGTAGTAATAGTACCTCTGGAAACAGCAAAACAAAAGGGGGGATAAAAAAATATGTGGGGAATATCGTTTTATATTTGTATGCAACAAGATACGTTATTGATACAGTCAGACCTGTTTCAGTGGCTACCTCTACACAAAGTTCCCCTGTCTATTGTGGTCACTAATATCCTCTCCCTTAAGGAGAAAATTATGTGAGGTAGAACCTGTCTACATAGACCAGTTGTCTGCATTGGCTACCCTTTTTGTCTCCATTGGATTTATTAAAACAACAGATTTGACCACATACTTGGAATAGCGCCAAAATTTCTTCACACTGTTCACTGTAGACACAGGTCTATAAAAACATCTACCCGATTAAAGTACCAAGGGCAATCACAGGTTACAATGTAGCTACAGGAATCACATTACATTATATCAGGCGGTGTCAGACACATCTTTCCTGATTTATCTTGCATTACCTAGATAATTCACTTCCGTAGGTGACAGACAGGCTACAAATTATCTAGGTAGCTATATTCTAGATAATTGATGGGCCATTGTGACATCATCACGTAGCGGTGCCTAAAAACATGATACACAACATTTCATGACATCACAGGGTTCTTGTATCTTTATGATGTCATAATGTAGATCTCGAACTCAACTCAATTTAACTTAAACTGGGTAAGACAGGATTCCAGTTCTTCCTATTAAAGTGTTGATATCATTTGCAGTGCCCTACAGAGAAGGCAATCTAGCCGCATGCATCAGAATTTAAATTAAACGGTTGGTTGTACACATATGATCGAGTGCGCTAGTTGAGTACTGTGATAGCGGAACCGGAAATCAAAAGTTGACCTTATACTGACCTTTAACATGATTTTTTCGTGAAAAATGTCAACATTGGTGACAGACAGAAATTTCCAGCGAAAAATCCTGTGAAATTTCTGTAAGGGAGAAGTTTCTTGGTTTGTTCTGCTTGATTTTTTGCGGGATAATTGATGATGACAGACAGCGAGTTATCTAGATAGGTATTTTTTAGATAATTAGCCTCTGTCTGACACCGCCTATTGCGTATTAAGCCTGAGCATGTAAACATTGAAAGCCCAGATATGAAGAGACTTTCTGTCAAGGACCTGTAAAAATGAAGGCTCTCATCTTGAAATAAACTTAGTTTCACTCAAATCACGTTCACTAAAAAGATTTTCAACAAAGCACTTTTTCATGATGGGAGTTACACTGTAAACACATCAATCATCCTTGAAAGTACAATACTTTCAAAACCAGACAGAGAAAAGGTCTCGTACTGTCCACTTCTGGTATCATATATCCTTGTTTTGAGATCTTTTTCTTTTTATTTTTGTTCAGAAGTATTGATGACAGAAACTTGGACCGTCATCAAAAACAGCAGTTGTCCTACCCTCGATCATTTTATCAAAGATTGAAATAATCAAAACTTCCAAAAGTAGCAGAGCTGGATCATAGTTGAACCAGTTCTGTATTTATAAAAAGCCAATCAAATTATACAACAACAAAGGGCAAAAACCACATCTCAATCGGATTTAGATGCTCGAGTCTTCAAATTTGACTAAGTTACATGTTTTTCAACAATTAATCAAGGTGAACAGAAGCATACTTGTAAAAAATCAGCTAGGCAGGATGTGATCCCTCAATATTCATTCCTTAGAAAAGATTTTATTGAAGTAGATAAGTGTTAACCTTGGGGCCAGTAATCAAAACAGGCATAACAAGACAAACTTTAGGAGGAATTATGTTCTACTATCTATTATCCCATTTCGTCAAAGGGGCCCCTTGTAAATGAAGCAGTCCTGTCATATCTTTTACAGTCTTTTAGACTTTTACAGGGTTCTGTTGTATACATGTTTAGTTGCATTTGAAGAGCCCTGCTAAAAATCAACTGCATACTGATAGAACAAAATATATATATGTACATGGAGTAACTGGTCAAATTGAAAGCAATTTAACTACCGGTACACAAAAATCCCTGGCCTGGATATCACAAATTACGAAGAAAATATTTATGATTCCGTTCATAGAATAACATACAAATATACTCTAACATGAAAGGTTCTGGTAGGAAGCGATGGTTCTCCGAGGTGACATGAACGTGACAATGTGAACGAGATATGTGTGACTTATTTCTTGTATGGACCTATCAACTGTACAGAATCTTTTCATGACAGATCTATATAATGTGTAACAGATAAAAATTAAATAGAATGTTATTTCCAGTCTAAGCTTGGAGAGATTGAGCTTGAAAGTAAACTAGAATCATTTACAAATGATCATTACTCATCTTGCTGTCAAACAAATAGAGAGTGATATGAAGAGTAAAAAATATCAATAACTAACCTCTAAATCCCTTTCAGACGGTTCACCCAACACCTTCTCAGCATCATGCTCCACCCCACGAATGACATTCATCTGTTCTTCAGGGGTCATAGGTCGACTGAGAGGTAACTGATGACCATTAGCATGTCCGTTGGCATGGCCATTCTGATGCCTAAAGGTACAGGTCAATGATAATACAAACAAAAATAAACAATGAGTGATATTTATTTATAGAAATGTAATTCTAGATGTAATTCTAGAGAAAATCAATGTGCGCATAGTCTTTAAAGTGCCCTTTTCCTGGTTTCATCTTTGATTTGTTTCCTGTATATTGGAAACGTGCCCAAGTACACATCAAATATCACAACTCTGAAATAATACATTTCTTAAGGCTTGTTCAGAACTGACATGGGAAAATGTCGCAAGAAAACCACCATGATTTTTGTTAAAGTTAAAAGGGAAGGAAACTTTGACCAACAAAGGTTCTACACATATTAACTGAGAACTGTGTTTATACAAGACACAGAAATATATGACGCATATTACACTTTACGTCATCAACTTTTTTAAAATGCTTTTTTCCCAACTCATGGGCATTAAATAAAGCCATTCAAACTCTTTATCTCAGAGATGCTGGCAGAATAGAATCCAGAAATTCCCTTTTTTTTTCTTCTTCTTGTACCAGAAATTATTGATTGCTTTAATAGTAAATGAGATGTACACATACATGTAGTTCTGCTGTCAGTAGGCAATGAAGTAAGCAAATTTCCACTGTCTGCTCAGTGAGAGAAGGCTGTTAACTTTCACTTCACAAAGAGTTTAAACCCTTCTGGTTCTCAGCAGATATTAGACCTGGCTTTGTGCAAATTTCCATGTAGATGCAAGATTTGCTTCTCCATTGGGTAAATTATATCTACCGGTACTCACCCATTTTGCTTTGGCTTTCTTCCAGCAAAGGTCTTAGACCTGGGAGACATGTCAGGCATGGTGCCATTCCGGGGTGATTTCGCTAGTGCTGTTCATATTCAGTCAAGGATAACTAATACTCTATTATATGTAAGTCACACTTGGAACATTTCTCCAAATACATTATTATTAAGGTTATATGAGAATCACATGATACAAAGGATTGTTAATGTTACTGATTACCCAAAACAGCACTTCTCTGACTGGAGACAAAAAACATTTAGTTATCAAATTACATCCCCCCCCCCAAAAAAAAAAGAAAAAGAAAAGAAATATGGTTGGTGCATAAAAGAATTTTTCTCATCTGTATGTCTTTGTGTTCTGACTGCGATAAAATAAACTTGGAATAAAAAGCCAGCTTTACACAACTTCATTCTTGGTAGAAATTTCATGAGCCATATTGCTAATTCTATCAGTTATCATTGACAAAACACTTTTTGACAATTTTTTTTGCCCCATCTAATAGAATTTGTATATCACCATTGATGTGTTGTAAACAATGCTTAATTATTGCCACAGCTTATCTTTGTTTGTGAGTCATTTAATCTACTAATAGAAAGGATACGTGGAGAATGGCTCCTCTTCCTGGTCATATGGGCCTGAGTGGTTGCCCTCGGTAGGTTGGGTCTGGGTAAGCTCTTGATCTTTAGATGGCTGGCACTTGGTGTGTAGTTGTTTGCAATAGACTCACTGGGGGTGCGATGAAACTTTTGTTCTTTAAAGGGTGCTGCCAACGTCCACGAGTTTCCTTGCATTATTGGAGGATGCTCACTGTGCTTTAGTACAATCTGCCCAAGTTAATAAAAATACCAAACATTGCTTATTTATTATATTAATCTGAATATGAACCAATAAACATAGAAGAGAAACATACTGACCAGTATAACTTGGTCAATTGCGTGCAATCCCTTTTTAACATGAAGGCTACAAGAAGAATTTCACCAAATTTCATGAAGTTGGAGGTTTTCCCTTTGTATGCAAAAGCAATTACAGCTTGCAACTGTGCATGTAAAAGTTTAAGAATGTCTGTAAATCTTCCTGTCATAACCTCAAATGGTGGACTGCCTACTAAATATAAACACCACATTATTTTCTGATCCTCTCCTCTACCATCTATCTACACAAGGAAAGTACATTAAAATGAAAAATTTCAGATACACCTGTATAAGAGATAGTTGATTTAAAAACTATTACACAAGTTTCTGATATTAATCTGATGAATTCTCAAAAGCTAAAGAGTTTCAGAGTACGACATACCTGGTAAAGATCTGAAGGTTGATCCACACCTTCTGCTGGGAGAGGAGGCAGCCCGGGAAGGCCCCTTGTTTGACTGCAGCTCAACATAGGGGTCTGGGTCATCTAGTACACACAGATATATAAAGATTTTAAGATAACACTCATTTCTCCTACAAAAAGGCAATTGAAATAAAAGTTGTTGAACACCCTCGCATATTGCTGTGGATAAAAACAGATATGATGGGGGGCTGTATGTCCGAACGCTTACGGTAACTAAAATGAAGCCATCACTTTTTGCCTTAGTATTTATAGAGAAGCATGCACCAATTACCACTAACACTCAAATATTTGTCTTTTATAATGTTGTCTGATGCTAGGAGTTCAATGGGCCAGCGCCAGTTGGTGCCAGTTAGCGGCAAAGATTATGTGATTGGCGCGTAGTGGCTCGCTGTGGCGCCGAATTAATGTCCGCTCGGCATGTATCGCCAAGTGGAATAAACTTGGTGCCATATGGCGTGTGCCAAATGCCACTCGGCTTGCTCCAAAATGTTGCGCCAGTTTGCGCCAGTTCGCGCCATTACACAGCCATTTGATTCCAAAATTCACCCTGTTGGCGCCATTCGCGCCAATAGACGGCTACTTTGCGCCACTTGTTGATTAGTTTGTGCCAAAGGTCGCCAAATTCGTTTGAACTTGCCGCCGCTTGGCGCTACTTGCCGACTATATAAATACCGGCCATCAGCTACCTGGTTCAGACCCTCCTCAGCTGCTGTATGAAAAACATCTCTACTAAATATTTACAATTTTGATATGTCTGAGGCTTTTGATAATGTTGGAGTGATGATGCTGCTCCATCAGAAGATGATGAGAGATGCTGAGGTGACAACTTGGCGCCAAGTGGCGCCATGTGGCGCGAAATCTCTTTGGCGCGCACCAATTCAATTCCAGTGGATTCCAATAGGCGGATTGTTTGCGCCAAAGGGCGATATGTTCGCGCCATTTGGTGCCACTTGGCGCTGATTGCTCGATGCAAGTGGCGTGACGAAAATTTCAAACATTTTGAAATTTTCTTGCCGCCACATTCAAATTTGGTGCCGTTACGGGCCACCACGAGCTAGTTGGGAGGCAGTTTGAGCCACTACACGCCACTAGGCACCTTTTTGGCGACACTAGGCGCCACAGTAAATTGCATTTGCGCAAACTGGCAACAACTGGCGCTGGCCCCGTGGACTCCTAGCATAACATAGGTCTTGAAAGATTGATAAAATATTGCATGTAAACTTCTTAAAATCACTTATTTAATCGACAGTCCAGACACCCAATCTGTCTGGACACACGTCTATGTATTGAACGTGTTGCATTGCACATATTTGCGGGGTGCATTGTTTAAGGACCTTCTACGGTACCACTGCAGGCCTTAAATTTCAATATTTTTAGGGCAAGGCCACTTTTCTGTAGGGCACATTCCTATATTACAGCACAAATAGGAAGAATTGGAAAGGGCACAACAAATCTCCAAGTAGGGTGTCTGAATGATTTTTCAATCTTCAATTTCGGATCGTTTTTCACCATTTTTGTTTGATATTTGAATTAAAAATGTAATTAGAATAATACATTTCAAATTTCAAGTCTCACCGATGTTTCTATCAAAAGATACAGCCCCTCCAAAACGCTGAAATATTCATAGGATTTTGCTCAGAATCGACGAAAAAGACGTACACGCAGAGTTATGTTGTTTTGCTAAATTTAGCCAAACAGCTGTATCGCGCGATATGCAAGCGTATGCATAGCGTATGCATGTCATGCGCAACTTGCAGCTTGAGCCATGCTGTCACCGCGATATGTGCCATTGACTAGTATGGCTAGCCGTTCGAGGTCTAGGTCTAGGTCTATTACCAAATGGACGGCAAAGTTTTTTACTACCAGTACAACTTTACTGTACTTACCGCACAGGGCGTTACAGCTAATTTATCACAAAATGCGATCCATCATAAATAAGGTAATTATCTAATTTGCAAAGCAAGATAGACTATTATAAAACCAGTTGGTACCACTTTTTACTGTGCACGAGCTATGAGTTTGTAATGACGTTATCACAGTTTTTCCTTCATAATCATTTTGCCATAAGCATAAACTAGAAGGGATGAAATTTAGATGACGTCATGCGCAGCGAGAGTTTCAAATACGGCTGCAAGATTTTCAAGATGGATTTCGATTTTGACCCGTAATTTCCTGAAAAGGGACAGATTATTTTAGTCAAGTTGGTAAGTGGAACCGATAGCCTAGGGATCCTAGATTCTAGATCTAATTTTCAAAAATTGTATGCATCGGATATGCATCCGGTAAAGTATGGAATTTGGGCATAAGTTTGGTGGGTCGTTAGCTAGACGATAGCTCCACCGAACCCACACAGTAGCGCCTATGGTCGGATTCTGTCTCTAAAGAGAAGAGCCGACCATACCCAAATCAGAGGCTAACGAATGGAAGAGACAGAAATTTTGGTCTAGATCTAAGGCAAGCTCAGCTCAGGCCAGGTTTACTATTGCTCACTTAAAAGTTAAATTGGAATGTCACCTGATTGAATGTGTGCAAAACTGGGAAGTGAGAGACAGATCAATGTTGATGACATTGCACTGTACACTCGTCACTTGACCAGCACAAGGTACGATAATCTACTTCTACTTCTATTCTACTACTTGTCAAAGCCTGTTCAGCATCTAGACAAGGGTGATCTTTTGCCGACGGTGGACGGCTTGTGTAAATTTGTGCCGAAATATATACATGTTTATGGTGCAAGTAAAATGATAAAAATCATAAAAATCATAAAAAATAATGATGATGCTGTGACTATTCGCAGCTGATGGCTTCCTTGAACTGCTTCAATGTGGGCAGTTCAATGATATTTGTAGGAAGCTCATCCCAGTCTTTCATGGTGCGAGGAAAGAAGCTGTATTTGTAAGAATCGGAGGATGTACCAAGTCTGGTGAAACGAAGGTGATGTTGACTCCTTGTAGCTCTGTCTTTCTGTGAGATGTAATCTGGAAGAGGGATGGCTATCTGGTGGTGGAGGATCTTATACATCATGGCTAGACGTGATTCCAGTCGTCGCTCTTGTAGAGTTGGGAGTCCGATGTTCAATCGCATAGCCGTGACGCTGTCTTCTCGGCTGTGATTCCCTGTGATGAAGCGTATCCCCCTCCTCTGAACTTTCTCAAGGCTATCTATCAGGTTTTGCCGATATGGATCCCATATAGCTGCCCCATATTCTAGTTGTGATCTGACTAGTGTTGTGTATGCCTGTTTCTTGATGGCAGATGAGCATAGGCTGAGGTTTCTTCGAATGAATCCAAGTGTTCTGTTGGCTTTGGCTGCGACTGCCTTGATGTGATGTTTCCAGCTAAGTTTTTCATGGATCTCCATCCCCAAGTAAGACTGGCTGGAAACAGCGGCGAGCACCTCATCTCCCATGGTGTAGTTAAGGATGATGGGTTTTTGCTTGCGATGAATTCTCATGCTGTAGCACTTCTTCGCATTGAATAGCATCTGCCACTTTTCAGCCCATTTGTGCAGCTTTTGAAGGTCTTTCTGTAGATCCTGGGCATCCTCATCTTTGTCGATCTTTCTGAACAGGAGGCAATCATCGGCAAAGAGCTTAATGGTTGAGCTAATGTCCTCTCCAATATCATTGATGTAAAGTAGGAACATCAGTGGCCCTAAAACTGTCCCCTGCGGCACCCCTGATTCAACATCTATGGTTTCCGATGCTGCTCCATCAACAACTACTCGTTGTGTCCGTGCAGTCAGCCAGGTCTTTATCCAGTTCTTGGTGTTGTCTCGGATACCGTAATGATCTATTTTCCCCAGTAAGCGCTGATGTGGTACCGTGTCGAAAGCTTTGGAGAAGTCGAGTATCAGCATGTCAATCTGGTGGTGATGGTCCAGAGCCCTCGCTATTTCTTCGACTGTTATAGCAAGCTGCGACTCGGTGGAATGTTGTTTCCGAAATCCATGTTGATAATGTTGGAGTAGAGTGTGCAATTCCAGGTGATCCATGATTGAGTGGAAGATAATATGTTCCATCAGTTTAGTTGTTACACACGTCAAGGACACTGGGCGGTAATTCACTGGGAGGCTTCTATTACCCTTTTTGTAATACTCCAACGGCGGTCTGTACTACTAGATCTAGGCCTAGAGATCTATACTGGAAGAAGAAGAAGAAATCCAGAATTTTTTAATTTCGAAATCAATCACACGAATCATGAAATCAACACTAACAACACTGCATGCTGCATGCTGCATCATCATGCATGCACTGCCCTGTCTAGACCTATTCAAAGACAAAAAAGTCACAAAGTTTACAAATATCAGCTGATTATTTTCTTACCCTGAACCTCTCAGCGACTGTAGCATTCCCAGGTCTTGTAACATCCATTTTTTTCGATAGATATTTGCACTAAACTGGGATCTAATAATTGGGTGCTGATATCGCAAGAGAGAGGTCACTCCGCTTCACCTCAGCCGGGCCGTGTTGGCTCGCCTGGCTTGTTATGAATCGTGCTGACGGCCGACAAAAACTCCTTCATTCAATCTAGACCAACCAGTTTCTTCTGCATAAATTACTGTTTACACGAAATGAAACAGTTGTCGTTGAAGCTGTTTATAAATTAAATTGATTTTAGAATATCTTTCTTGATATTCTGAAGGGCAGAACAAAATCTGCCGGACAAATGCGGGTCAGTTTCGTTCTATTTTACTGCGTTTCGCAGTTCCGAACCGAGTTGCGGAGGCGTCCATTTTGTAAAGTTATTTAACATCCGGGTACTTTGGTTGCCATGGCTTGACTAAGCTATAGGCTAGGCTGGCGCAGGCGGTGATCTCGTAAAAATACCGTGCTACAAATTTCGTAGTATAATGTGTTTGTGTGTTTTTTGTTTGTTCGTTTGTTTGTTTGTTTTTGTTTTCGCTATCAAAAATTGGGTTTAAATCAAAGAATAGAGAATGTCCGCGTCTTCGTATTCAATATAAGAATCATATATAGCCGGGCACTTTGTTGCATGAATATCCCTGGCATAGTGGTGGGGGCTTAGGGTCTATTATGGGCCGCCATTTCTCTAGAAGATTACTAACGGAAAAAATCAAAGAAAAGTAAACGAAAATAACATAAGGGGAAACTGAGGAAAGACAGAAGAAAAGAGTCAAAATATATTTAAAAGGCATCTATTCCACGCTTTTTTGTTTACCCCTGCGACTCTCTGTCGTGAATATATTCTTTGTGTACCTGCAAATACTATAACAGTAATTTTTTTTTATTTTTTTGGCATTCATCCGAAAATGACATTGCTTACTTGGTATAGTTTATCAAAACTATTAGCAAGTAAAGTCGGTAAGTTATAGAGATATTCGATTCTTTTTTTTTTTTTTTTTTTTACTTTTCAGTTGGTTTATTGATCACACGGATAAAGTTAAAACAAAGAAAACAAAATAAAAGAGACAAAGTGCGGGGTGACAGATGGATGAAAACGCAGATATTACTTGCTTCGACTTGTTTGCAATGTCAGGTGATACAAATGTGATAATCACCTGTCAAAATAATGAAAGGTATTAGCTAGGCACTGGAGCATGCTAGGGGGGGGGGGGGCGTGTACACTTAATACACCACAACAAACTCTTCAATGTAAAGGTAGCGTCACTTGACCAGTTTGAATGATGGGATGTCGGACCAAATTTGCCAAAGAGTGAGCTCTTCTGCTTTTAAATCTTCAGATTTTCAAATGTGCCGCAAAGAGTAAACACTGCATGCGCGTCGCATTTAATGTGCTGGCAAAGGATCCTTCACATTTTCAAAGCAAAATCATTAAAATGAACAAAGTTTTCAAATGGCATGCATCTCAATAAGGAAAATTTTTTGTTTTTAGAATACAAAATTTGCCAAATGAAGATTGTAGAAGAAGAAGAAGAAGAAGACGAATAACGAGAAGAAAAAGGAAAAAATGAGAAGCAGAAGAAAATGGGGAGTCCAACTAACAACGCTCACAAAATATGTCCATAATCCTAGGTCAGCTTCATCCTTCTCGCTCCTTCCTTATAAAAATCACTTTTTATGTAATTGTCCTTCCTGTTTCTTTATTAGACCCACAACCTCTCAATAAACCATTCATAACAAGAGAGTATTTCACTTTCGATCCAAGATGAAAGCAAAATGAAATTCCCCTTCCTTTTCCCGGCATCGACATTTTTTATTTAGTTTCATGTAATGAATTTTTAGAGAGCTATTTCCTTCTTATCTCAAGCAATTTCCTGTTATTAATAACAATTATTTGTTCCCAAAACTCTCTCATCTTACTATCGAATACCAATTTCAGGTTTTGCTTACACTTCATAATACAAGGTCAGAAGATGGAAATTCATCCGGCAAAAGATTGCCTCGATCCTTTATGAGCGTACAATGAAATTGCCATTAAAAAGTATATAAAAACGAATTTTGAGTATGATGGTAAAGTTCATTTATTATGTTCTGGTTCGTGAATTGGCAATATCGAAATTGCTTTAGGTCAATTTTCTATAGTCTTGGCGGTTGTCTTGTTCAAAGTTTGCCCCCTAATCAACTGTCCTATAGCTATATAAATTATGCCCTTGTAATTTATAGTCTTTCCCTTGGTTAATTTGTCCGTCCTTCCAACTTCTAACTTGCTCTACCCCCCCCCCCCCCTCTCTCTCTCCATTCTTTGTGGTTCTTATCCATTGCTCTCCATCTATCTATCTCTGTTTTTGTTTCCCTGCCTGTATGTCTGTCCATCTCAGTCTCTCTCTCTCTCTCTCTCTCTCTCTCCTCCTCCCCCCCCCCCCCCCCATTTATTCTTCGTGTCTCTTATCCATTCATTTCGCTGTTTTATCCTCCTTTCTCTTCCTGCATGATCTCTTATCAATCCATTTAGGCATAATATATCGCGCTCTCTCTTGTTCTGTCTCCCTGTCTGTCTCTGTCTCTGTCTCTCTGTCTGTCTCTCTCTCTCTCTCTCCTTATTCTTTGTATCTCTTATCCATTCTTCTCTGATGTTTTATCCTTTCCTTCTATTATAGACCTCTTATTCATTCCATCGATTTCTCTCTCTTCTTCTCCATGTCTGTCTGTATGACAGTGTGTCTATTTGTCTCTCGCTTCTCTATCTCTCCCCCCTCTCTCTCTCTCTCTCTCCCTCTCTCTCTCTGTCATATCTCTCTCCTCTTACGTATGACTTTGTGTACTATCCAGGCATTGGTACTATCTCTCCTTACTTCAGGTCCACTTCTTTTACGCTCACTCCCTTTCAATTTTGCCTCCAATCGAACTACGTGGAAAGCACTTGCAACTCTGCATACGGAAAAAGTACAGATTTTTTACTAATATGATTACTGATCAATATAACAGAGATCTTATCGAAAACAATACAGACAATTCAATGATTATTCTTAATCAGTGCTTCATAGCTTGCACAAGTTTAATGTTTATACAGATTGCAATAATATGGTCGCAATAGCATATATATTTTGTTTGCGCAAAAGACACTTCTGAGATCAACGGGCAAGACACTGTTCTGAGATTAATGGGCAAGTGCCTGGGAATGAAATTATTAGTTTTAATACCCATGTACTCAAAGTAACGGATGTTTCACTCCGGAAACCAATGATGAACTGTTCTTTGTCTTTATTCAAGTTGTCTTTGCTCTTGTGAACAAACTTATTTGGAAGAATAGTATCACACACAATCATAGGATTTCTGCTTACGTGTTTTATATAATGCCCGTGATTGATTGCCAGACCGATCGTGCACTTGACTAACAGGAAGTATCTTTTCCACCCTTATAAAGTCATGTGTATCTGGATACTTTAGTCTTTATAGTGTAATTATCCCGTTAATTTAAAATACTAGAGATGAAATATAATACAATACGTTTGGGTTTGTGTAACTACTAATATTATAAATACTCATAATCCAAGCCATTTATACATATTATATGCAACGTGATAATCAGATTGATGTGTGCGTTATATTTAAATCACCGTCATTCCAACGGCAAATCGATCTCGAAATCAGCCTCGTATACTCTTCGCTTTTCATGCCACGCCGGGGATTCGATCCATGAAACCAATGATCCAGAGCCCGGTGGCACATCCACGAGACCTCCTCTCCTCATCGGAAATACAACATAACATTTATTGCTTATTATGATCCTAAAATGTTATTTCAATCTGTACACAATTTTTAAAAATCCAATACATTTTAAATATTGTGCGTATACAAAGTGCTGAAAAATGCGACATCTGCCTTTGTTGCCATTCCCTACATTATTATTTGAAATATTACATCGACGAAATATTATTTGTTCTGATGAAAAACATATTTTGATCCATCTTTTTACCATTAAACCACTTAACTAGCTCGTCAATTAGCCTTTAAATTTGAAGAGGAAGTGTGATTTCTTCGTACGAAATAAAAATCAGTTCAATTCAATTTATACTTTATTTAGATTCAATCTTTGTTTTAAACATTGAAAAATACAACAATTAAAAACGTGCAATTTCATACATAAATACATTTGAATGACATAAACCTAATATACATATATAAATGATAATAGAAATAAAATTGGTACAGCTGTAGAAAACAACGACAAGGTTTAGTCAACACACTTTCCATTGACAAGAAAAATCTGAAATGAAATGTTATCATTTACATGAAGCAAGGTACGCCATGTTATGAATTCATTAAAGATAAATAAAGCCTCTTCTTTTCTACAGGAAACAATTGCAAAAATCTAAAATAATTTGTTTTGTATCACTCGATTTCTTCTCTCTTTAAATTTGTGTATAGGCCTATAACTAGTAAAAACTCGTGTACCTTTTTATTTAAGGAATTTTTAAACATTTATACATGTATATACATATTATCACTTCTATATAATCAGCATGTATTAACTTAACAACATACAAACATTTACAAATGTATATATAATTGTTCACTCTTTAAACGTCATAAATTATGGTCTACTGTGAATGTTTACACTAGAATGATTCGTGTATTAGAATTATTTTTGAAATATTACTATTATATAATATTATTTAGGAAAGTCAAGCAATTTAAGCACCTGTACTTTTTATCTAAGTAATTATGATTTCTCAAAACGTGCATTCTTAATCACGGATGCTTTTTAAGTAACTGTATATACTTTCTCATTAATCTCCGAACATCCTTTATTATGACTGCATTGAGTAAGTGATATTCCTTGGTAATTATCATCGTACATTCGCCGTGGTGAATCAATCCTTCCTGATTGTGGTCGTAATAATTTTCAATATTATTCTCATTTTATTTTAAGTATCCCCTTCTCATATTCCCACTTGTTATACATCCGTAAACACTTACAAAAACACACACACCCCGATATCTCTCTTTCGATTTGTTCAAATTAAAGCCATACTGCACTACTTATAACTACTTGAGTCCTCTATATAGCAAACAATGCATAAGCGGTGACCGTTGGTCCCCCATGGTCCTCCTTTTCTTATGTTGATTGAGAGCTGATTTGATGAGATAAACACCTGCCAGTGACCACGCAGGGAGGCCTAATCCCACCTGGCCAAACTAGTGTAGATAGGCTTTAAACTGCCCTAGAACATGTTGTACGTCATCACTCATTCAAGGTGTATACAAACTTGTCTGACACAAACGGATTATGCGATGGATACATCGCAACGAGGTCAACTCTGCCATTGATAATCTGGCAAACCTAAGTAGAGTAATAATGCTATACATAAAACATCTAAGTAAGTCAAATAATAT